AGAAAATTCTAATGTCACGTACAATTAGTGCAATAACAGAGACATTAAAAACATATAAAGGCGTTGTAATCATGTCAGATTACGAGTTTTCAAAGTGTTGGCAACTTTTACTTTTAACAACCCATTTCGGCGCTTTATTTTATTACGGCGCTTTACTTATTATTTCGGCACTGCTGCTGGTGGCGCAGCATGTCGATCTTTGTCAACCGCAACTTGCGCTTGCAGGTGTCACAGTAATAGCCGTCGGATGAGTGGGAGCTTGAGCTTCTGGATGCACTGGAAGTTTCAGCATCCGCTGTGTTCGCCGGGCTATCCGGTCTAGGTTTACGACCGTGCGCCTTGCGACCCGGGCACTGGGGTCGGTGCACCAGCTGTTCCAGCACATCGAACTCATGCAACTCGAAATCGCAGTGCGGGCAGTGCCATGGCTCTGTGCGGAGGGCCGCGTCCATGGCCAATGTCCACGGCTGCTCCGCCAAGCAGTTGTACACCACGTGCTCGGATACATTGAGCCCGCCCTTCTCTTCGTTGGCGGTCATGGCATAGTCGACGGCAAATGGATTCTGCTTGAGCTCCATAAGGCGCGCCGAAGGGGCCTGGTGTGAGTAGAGACGCTTGATATCTGCGGGAAGCAATCGCCGAATCGCGTACGCCACATCCAGCGCCATGAAGTCAACCAGCTCGTGCCAAAGCGTGCTGCTCACATTGCTCACATTGCTCACACCTGAGGATACTTCCAGCTTGCTGTTCAGATCTGCAAATAAGATAGTTAGAGTAAGGAATTAAATCAATTTACTAAAAATGCCAATTACCGGCAGCATAATGTGCCACTGGGCAGTCTTATAAATACAATTCCTATGTTTGATACGTTGCTTCAAATACAAATAAAAATACAGAATTTTATACATTTTTTTTTAATACAAAGCTTTGGCGAAATGCTAACTTTAAGGCATAGAAGGTTAGCTAAAAGTAGGTTTTAGGCTGCAAATTTGCAGGGTTTTCTTCAGAAACTGGCCTTAACTGTTCAAATTAGCGAAGTAACAAACAAATGAATAACATTTTTTAAATAAATGAATATTAAATAATGGAAAACAAACTTTATCTGGTTAAATTTAGCATGAAGACGTGAAACGCCGCAAAGTCCTGTTTTTTTTTTTTAAATTTAGTTTAAAATTTAGCCTACCATTAAAGCAAGTAAACTGGATAAAATAGCCAAGTAATCACAGATATTGCAAGAATTTAAATTAAAAAATATATGAAATTATTGAAATAAACGAATGAAAAATTGCCTTATTTCTGTCAGTTATTTTAGCTTTCCATGAATAAGTGAGAACGGGCCTAAGTCCTGTTTTTTTAATTTAAGCCTACTTCTAGCCGATTCAAATAGCCAAGCAATAACAGAGATTTAAAATAACTTAAATTAATAAATATTAAGCTATTGAAAACTAACCGAATAAAAAATGACTATTTTAAGTTTACCAAATAACGTTAAATCGGGCCTAAGTCCAGTTTTTCAAATATAATTTTTACTTTAGCCTACCATGAAGCCGAGCAAATTAGCTGATTAAATTAGCCAAGTAAAAACATAGATTTATAAGAATTTAAATAAATTAAATTTAATATTAAATGATTGGAAATAAAATGAATAAAAACATTGTCCCAAAATTTAATTTTAAACCTACTTTTTGCCTCACAAGAAGTATGGCTGAAACTAAACACTAACCTTCTAGTTTGGCATAAAGCAGACTACTCCACCGTCGGCGCAGCGCGACGGCGCGGCTAAGGAGCTCCATGCCGCTGCCGGGCATGGGTAGATCCAAGCCCAGCCAGCCGTCGCAGACGATCTGGGTGATGCCGGCGTTCGTGTCGATGGAGAAGCCGAAGAGCAGCAGAGTCTGGGCTGCCGGCAGGCGGATACAGTTGATCAAGTAGGGCTTGGCGGTTTCCAGCAGCGACCTGCGGATCGGTGGGATTAGCACTGGTAGCACCATTGGATTGGATATTGATTTGATACTCACTGGTAGCACAGCAACTGGTGGCGCTCGCTGAGCGGGTGCTTGGGCGTGTAAAAGTCCGGCTTGGGCAGCAGATCGCTGTCGGCCAGCTTGAGCAGCTCGTAGTGCTTGGCGAAGTGGGAGTTGGGGTGTTGCAGCAGGAAGGGCTTGAGCCGCGTGTGGAAGAACTGCTGACCGCCGCCCTTGCAGTAGTTGAACTCGTCGGCGACGGCCAGTTGCGGGTAAAAGCCGCTTCCGAGCAGCAGCTTCAGCAGCACCACGTCGCGATGGCGATCGAGACGCGCCGAGCGCTCCAGCAGTGCTAGCTGCCGGTGGTCGTAGCGCAGCCGGAAGTCCACGTCCCGCATGTCGTCGCCCTGCTTCTCACTCCGCTCCTCCTCCTCCTCCTCCTGCTCCTCATGCGGCGCGCCCTGCTGCTGCTTGAGCAACTTGCGCTGACGAGGCTGCTCGAAGCGTTGGCGGCGCTTGAGAGCCTTCAGCTGACGCAGCTCGCCGTGTCGCGTGGCCCGCTCGGCGCCTGTCAGCTGGGAACCGGAGCTGCTGGGCACCACCATGCCGCAGCTCTCGAGGATGCGCTGGAACTGCTGGCGCAGCTTGGTCACCTCGTAGAAACGCTGCTCCTCGATGCCCAGGCGTCGGCACCACTGGCGAGTGCTGTCGCGCCGGATCTTCAGCTGCAGCCACTCGCGGTAGAGGCGGACCAGGGTGAAGAGATCGCCCTGGTCGGACTCCAACGACTCGCGCTCCCGCACGCAACGCTGATCCGTGTGGGCACGATTCGTCAGCGGGTTCTGCACGCTGAGCATGGCGGCCAGGGTCAGCAGCTGCTCCACCTCCGGGAAGACACAGCCCATGAGCAGCATCTTGCCGATGGACAGCTCCACGGGCAGGTTGGCCAGCGAGCTGCCCAGCGGTGTGATCTTCTCCTCCACGCTAAGGGCGCACTACCATCGAGGATTAGGATTTGGGTTTGGGTTTGGGCTTGGGATTAGGATCACCTTTTGGTCACATATTTTGGTCAAAATTCTTACGTGCTGCTTGAGGGCCAGAATGGTCTGCTCGATGCGCTCCGTTTCCGGGGCCTCGATGAAGGGAAAGGCTCTGACATCGGGCAATCCCATGGACACCATCTGGAGCAGCATCGTGTCGAGCGGGACGCGGTAGATTTCCGGTGTGGGATAGGCCTCGAAGGCGTTGAACTGATCCGCGGTGTACAGGCGAAAGCAAACCTGTCGATGGCAAAGTGGGATTGAGTTGAGAAGAGAGTCCCCAAAATGACGACAAGGCTTACGCCTGGTCCTGTGCGTCCAGCGCGACCCTTGCGCTGCTCCGCCGATGACTTGGACACCCAGAACTCCTTCAGGCGCTGGCCCTTGCAGGTGGCGTCGTAGCTCATTTCCTTGACCTTGCCGGAGTCGACCACGAACCGCACTCCGTCCACGGTTAGCGATGTTTCGGCGATGTTGGTGGACACGATGCACTTGCGCCAGCCCTCGGGCGCATAGTCGAACACCTTGGCCTGCTCGGCGATTGCCTGGCCACTGTGCAGTGGCAGCACGAGCCAGTGCGTCTGCTCGGTGGCATATTCCTGGACGGCCTCCACCACCGATTCGATTTCATTTACGCCGCTCACGAATATCAGTACATCGCCGCGTTCGCTGGCTGGGGATTATATGGTTATGGTTATCGTTGTAGTGTTTCGAACACCCAAGATGGCCGGACTCACTCGGATACTGCTGGTCGATCAGGCTCAGGACCTGGACGAACGGTGCTGGGTCGAGGCGGTTGCCGTGGGAACGCTTGGACGAGGCGGTCGCCTGGCCCGCCTTCAGCTCCAGAGCCGGCGGCGGCAGGTAGCGCAGCTTGATGGGGAACAGGCGTCCCGGCACCTGCACCAGACGCGCCCCCTCCTCGCGGAAGTAGCCGTGGAAGAGCTCCACGTTGATGGTGGCCGACATGAGGATGAGCTTCAGCTGCGGCCGTGCTCGCAGCAGGCACTTGGTCACGCCCAGCAGAAAGTCACCGAACAGGTTGCGCTCGTGAATCTCGTCCAGGATGAGTGCATCGTACTGGTCGAGATTGGCGGCCACGGCCAGCTGGCGCAGCAGCAGGCCCTCCGTGATGAACAGGATGTTGGTGCTCTGCGTCCGGCTGCGCTCGAAGCGGATCTGGAAGGCCACCCGGCTGCCGTAGTCGTCCAGGAGCTCGTGGGCCACGCGCTTGCACAGGGACACACAGGCCAAGCGGCGTGGCTGGGTGCAGGCTAGGGCACGAAAGGATGGATTAGGCCAGATTGGAGCACACTCAATGGCACCACTCACCTATGCTGCGGTAGCCGAACTCGTAAAGGAACTGGGGCACCTGCGTGGACTTGCCACAGCCCGTGTCGCCGGCCACGATGACCACACGGGACGTGTCCAGGGCCTCGCGCAAATCCTGGCGGAAGCGGGCAATCGGTAGGTTGCGCTGCGCCTGCCGCAGCTTCCGTATGCGCTGGAACTTCTCCGCCTGGCGAAAGTCCAGGTAGACCAGCAGGAGCTGGCGGAACTGCAAGTGCATCTCGGCGTGTGCCTCCTCCAGCAGGGCATCCCCGTCCAGCCGCAAAGCGAGATGCTTGCTGCGGTGATACGGCTGCGTGGTGACCAGTTCCTCCTCGGAGAGCAGCGATGGCAGTACGGGCTGGCCCGTGGAGCGCATCATGGCCTCGTATTTGCCCACGAACTTCCAGAAGTCCGCTTCGTTCTCCACCAGACTTCTGCCCACTTGGCGGCTCTTGGCCTGCAGGAGCCCAGATAGCTCCGCCTTGCGGTCTAGGAAACTAAAGTCGACCAGGTTGAGCCTGGTCCCGTCGCCTTTCTTCGCTTTTCGGGACATTCTCGCTCAAAATGTTTATTTATTTATACCGGCAGCGCCCGATAGCACGCCTATCGATAGACGACGGGTCAGCTGTGAGGGCACCAAAACCGATAACAAAGATCTGGCAAGTTGACAACTAAAATGGTTTATTTTCCTAGTTTGCTAACAGAAAGGAGCCGCTACCACATGGCGCGCTGCACCCCGGACAACTTGTTGTAGTCGGCCAAGTGCCGCCAGACGATGCGACTCAGCCGGTACTTGTGGACAACTCCCCGCGGGCGTGACGTAAGCGCACAGCGTTCCCGTACTCGGACCAAAGATGAGTCGCGCGGAAAGGCTGCGATCTCGGCGTCGGCCACCTCTCTCAGCTCCACGGGCAGGATGTCGTTCTTGCGCAGCGAGTTGACCCGCAGCCGCTCCACGGCGTGCTCCTTGACGCACTTTCGCCGCTTTACGTCGCGGATCATCTTCCAATCGGCGTACTTGGTGCGCACTTGCTGCAGCTGGAATTGTCAATAGGTTTAGTTTCCACGCTAACTTGTTTGGATTACTCCTCCACTTACTCCGCAGCCGGCTATCTGCACCGATTGACAAACGAAGCCCCCGATCCTGGCCAGAGAATTCATGTTGCTGCTCCTGCCGGTGCTCTTCCTCTTGCCTCCAATGTATGGAGCCCGAACTATCGAGTTGACTTATCGATAGGTCTGATTGCCAGGCAGCTGATTCCCTTTGCAGGTGACTGGCACTTTTCGGGGAAAATTTTTTAAATGCAGTTGTATGGTAATTAGCAGTCATGTGCGAGAGCGTAGCATGCCGTGTGGAATTTGTTGTGGAAATACGTAGACCGTCTGCATGGCTACGAAGACCCCAAAAACAGTTTTAATTAAAGACCAGCCGCCCTTTACATAACCACCACCACCGCAACGCGCGATTCAAATCGAGCGCGTTCACTGTCATTCGCCATTCAGACCATTCACCGCGAAACGCGGTCACGTGTGCCTGTGTGGGTATGTGCGCGAATGCGTGCATGTGTATAGTTGTGGTTCCTGGTGTGCGTGTGGCTGTCTCACGTCGAGTTAGAAATTTGCTCGTGCCCGCAGTTCGCTGTTTTCGCCTTGTGCGGTGTGTGTCTTCAACTCAACCAACTGAATTCAGCTCCCCAAACAGCCGAAGCATCCGTTTCCGCAGATTCCGCAGATCCCGCAGTCCGGTGCAATTCACGGCGATCCAGGCGATACCCAGTCAGCAGAGCAGCTGAGGAAGAACAAGAGCCGAACCGACCCGACGTCGAGAAGAGGAAGAGAGGAGCAGCCTTGCAGAGATGCCTTCCAGCGATCCCCTGCCGCCCAAGGAGGGTGCGCTCTTCCGCAAGCTACTTGTAAGCGACGAGGGCTCTGCCTTCTGTTCTGCCCACTGCCCACTTTCGGCAGTTGCTCCTCCAACACTTCAACACTCCAACAAAACACCCCCACCCTCAGCGGCCGGCTTCGGCATCCATGTGCTTTTTCGGCAAAGTGCAGTGGAGTGGCTATTTTTGGCAGGCGGCGGCGGCAGCAGCAGCCGAGCAGAACGCTGGCCAGGATGCGGGGCTCCGGCACGGTGCTCCCGCTGCTACCGCTGCTGCCTACGCTGTGAGCCGCCCGAGAGTGGCATAACCTCAAAATGTGTCGCTGGGCGGGACGATGCGTATTGGAACCACTGACCTAATCCCAATCCTTTCGTTTCCCTCTCTCTCTCTCTCTCTCTCTCTCTCTCTCTCTATCGCCCACCAGAAAAGCTACGAACTGAAGCAGTACAAAAATGGCCTCAAGCTGGCCAAGCAGATCCTCTCGAACTCCAAGTACACGGAGCACGGCGAGACGCTGGCCATGAAGGGGCTCACCCTGAACGGACTGGGTCGCCGCGAGGAGGCCTACAAGTACGTCCGGCTGGGGCTGCGCAACGACCTGCGCTCCCATGTCTGCTGGCACGTCTACGGACTGCTGCAGCGCAGCGACAAAAAGTACGACGAGGCCATCAAGTGCTATCGCAATGCGCTCAAGTGGGAGAAGGACAACCTGCAGATCCTCAAGGACCTGTCGTTGCTGCAGATCCAGATGCGCGATCTGGAGGGCTACAAGGAGACGCGCCACCACCTGTTCACGCTGCGACCCTCGCAGCAAGCCTCCTGGATCGGGTACGCCATGAGTTACCATCTGTTGCGGGACTACGACATGGCCAACAACATCCTGGAGACGTTCAGCGCGTCGCAGACCTCGATTGTATGTATTGTATGCCGGGGGCTACCCGCCGCCCCATTGCCACATTGCCCCATTGTATCCGTCGCCTAATTATTTATCCCTCTACTCCGCAGGAGGCGCACGACTACCGCCATTCGGAGCTGCTGCTCTACCAGAACCAGATACTCATCGAGTCGGAGCGCCTGCAGCAGGCCGTGGATCATCTGATCGAGTACCAGGCCCAGATCGTTGACAAGCTGGCCGTGCGCGAGACCATGGGCGACCTGTACATCAAGCTGCAGCAGCAGGAGAAGGCGGTGCCCATCTTCGAGTCGCTGATCCGCCGCAACCCGGAGAACGTGCTCTACTACGAGCAGTACATTGCCGCCCGCCAGGTGACCGAGCCCAGTGCCGTGGTCTCCATCTATCGCGTGTTCCAGGAGCAGTATCCGCGTGCCCTCTGTCCCCGCCGCCTGCCTCTGAACATCGCCATCGGCGCCGAGTTCCGTGTCGTGGCCGACGAGTACCTGCGGCGCGGCCTGCGCAAGGGCATTCCGCCGCTCTTTGTCAACGTGCGCACCCTGCACCAGATTCCGGAGAAGGCGGCCATCATCGAGGAGCTGACGCTGCAGTATTTCGAGAATCTAACTCGCTCCGGTCACTTCTCTCGCGAGGACGCCGACGCCGGGGTGCCCGTCGAGCCGGCCTCGGCGCTGGTGTGGACGGCTCTGTTTCTGGCGCAGCACTACGACTACATGCGCGACACGGACCGTGCCCTCGAGTACATTAACGTGGCGATCGACCATACGCCCACACTGATCGAGTTGCTCATCACCAAGGGTCGCATCTTCAAGCATGCCGGCGATCCCGTGGAGGCGTACGTCTGGCTGGAGGAAGCGCAGAGCATGGACACGGCGGATCGGTGAGCATCGCCTACTATTGACTGGGCCTGGGCTTTCTAAGTAGCATAACCCTTTGGTGTTCCTCTACCCGTAGTTACATCAACTCCAAGTGCGCCAAGTACATGCTGCGCGGCAACATGGTGCAGGAGGCCGAGGAGATCTGCGCGAAGTTCACCCGCGAGGGCGTCTCCGCCATGGACAACTTGAACGAGATGCAGTGCATGTGGTTCCAGACGGAATGTGCGCTGGCCTATCAGCGCATGGGTCGCTGGGGCGAGTCGCTGAAGAAGTGCCACGAGGTGGAGCGCCACTTTGCCGAGATTGTCGAGGACCAGTTCGATTTCCATACCTATTGCATGCGTAAAATGACGCTGCGCGCCTACGTGGGCCTGCTGCGGCTGGAGGACGTGCTGCGCCAGCATCCCTTCTACTTCAAGGCGGCCAAGTGCGCCATCGAGGTGTATCTGCGTCTGTACGACAAGCCGCTCAAGTCGGAGACGACCATTGAGGAGATTGACATTGGTATGTAAACTTGTGACTAGTTTCGCCCATGCCTGCCCACTGCTACAATTCCATTCTTCGTTTCGCCACAGAGAACCTGCCCCCGTCGGAGCTGAAGAAGCTGCGCAGCAAACAGCGCAAGGCCAAGAAGAAAGCCGAGCTGGAGAGTGCGCAGGCCGCACAGGCGCAGGTGAAGCGCGAACAGCATCAGAAGTCGAAGCAGCAGGCGAACCAGGAGACCGATCCCGATGCTCCACAGCTGGACGAGCTGGTGGCCGAGAAGTTGGAGCGCACGGACGATCCGCTGGAGAAGGCCATCGACTTCCTTAAGCCGCTGCAGCAGCTGGCCAAGGAGCGGATCGAAACGCATCTGCTGGCCTTCGAGGTGTACTATCGCAAGAACAAGCTGCTCCTCATGCTGCAGTCCATCCTGCGCGCTCGCGCCGTCAATCCCGCGCACCCCGAACTCCACAGCTGCATTATTCGATTCATGAAGTCGCTGGCCAGCACCGCCAAGCAGCAGCCGTTCAATGATCACGTACAGCAGGTGCTGGACAAGGCCACCAAAGAACTGATAGGCAGCAAGACGCCCCAGCAGCTGAACGACGAGTTCATTGCCAAACACAACGCTTCCATACTGCATTTATACGAGGGCGCCCGCAGTCTGTACGAGCTGGACAATAGTAAAAAGGCCGCCGCCATCAAGCTGGTCACTAGCTTCAATCTGACCAAGATCCGTTTAGAGGTGAGCACCCGTTACCCCAATGTCTACCCTTGTCCAATCCTTGTCCACCCTTGTTTACCCTTTTCTATCGTTGTTTACCCTTGCAATTGAATTTCTGCTCTGCAGGAGGCCACCAAAATCTACACAGCGTTGCGGGACGGCGATGTGTTTGGGGAGTGCGAGGCCGAGGCCGCTCTCTATCAGCAGGCGTGCCATGAACGCTTCCAGTTCGCCCGCATCTTTCGCAATGTCGAGGAGCTGGAGGCCCAGCTGCAGGAGAAGGAGGCCGCCAAGCTGCGCGCCGAGGAGGAGCAGCAGCAGTTGATTCATGTTGAGTCTAGTGAAGCGGTGTCGGTTTTGGCCACCGCAGCGGCAGCGTCTTAGGACCAATCCAACACTGCTACACAATACACACGGCCGCAAAAAACATAACACCCAATGGCAAGAACGGCAAGAGCAGTAAGAACGGCGAGAACAGCAACCACAGATCTGCGGCAACAATAATGAGATGAAGCGAACCTAACAAACAACAACAACAGCGACAGCAACAAACAACAACAACAATATGAACAGGAATAAGCTTAGCTCTATAAACAACGGCAACCACAATAAAATTCACTATTAACAACAACAAACGAATTGACGATGCTATGATGAAGAGGCTGAGCTGATCGCTGATCTGAGCAAAGCAGAGTTTAACTGATCAATAGTGATCCATAGTTGTTTCGCCAGAAGACAAGTCGATGTAGAAACATGGGCATGGGAGTCGCATGTCGTTTCCGACTCCGCAAAAATATATGAACGCAAGTTGACACTGTTGTAGGATTTTAAAAGTTGAAAATTGAATCGAATGGAGAGAACAACCTATGTCTATGACAACACTTGCTGGCTTTTTTTCAATAACCTTTTATTTTTTATTATTTTTAACGAATGCATTGTATGTACATATAAAGTCGTAACTAATTATACGCAAATCAAAATCTTAATTCGTAAAAGAAGACAAGTCTTATAATTCTAGATAGCAATTTTTGCACGATTACAACTTTAAACGAAGCACAGCGAGCACTTGATGATAATGATCAAAACTGGATAAATTGAGTACCCATGTGCTTGGTGTCTTGTCTCCTAGCTATTTGAAGTCGATGTTTTTGATTCGTCTTATAATTTGCATTGATTAAGTAACCAAATTATACCACAAGTCGCAATACAATTAATGCTAAACATTCAAATATGTTGTACGACAATCTTATGTTTTTAGCAACAATCAATACATTTTTTTATTAAAAATATTCATGTCGTTGTAGAGGATAGTACACAAATCCCAGGGGCGAAGGACAAAGGAATATAAATATACAGTTTTTATTGAATCATTTGAGACACAAATATTTTTAATAACATTTTGGTCAGAAGTTTATGCAACAGTCCTACTCACCCTGCATCGTTGCTCATTTATGAAAATTGTCGCTTTATACGATTTATGAGGACATGACTAAAATCTGACGACTATATGCTGCATTTGACTTGGGCACAATCACGACAAAAATAGATTTTAGAATCCATTTTGAGTTTTAACAAAATCGAAAGACTATGTCGTGTAGCTGCAAAAGAAACTGTTGAATACATTTGCATATAATTTGGGGGATTCTAAGAGTTTTTATAAATCCGATACAATAAAATCAGAATCGATTTTGATTATAAACTTTGGCTTGTGGAAGTTGGTTTTTTCTTTTTTATAATTATTATACCCTTGCAGAGGGTATTATAAGTTCAGTCAGAAGTTTTCAACGCAGTAAAGGAGACATCTCCGACCCTATAACGTATATATATTCTTGATCAGCATCACTAGCAGAGTCGATCTAGCCATGTCCGTCTGTCCGTCCGTCTGTCCGTCCGTTTATATGCAAACTAGTCTCTCAGTTTTAAAGCTATCTGCATGAAACTTTCCCAAAAGTTGTCTTTCTATTGCAGGTAGTATATAAGTCGGAACGAGCCGGATCGGACAACTATATAGTATAGCTCCCATAGGAACAATTATAAAAATAAATTTTAAAAAATTATAACTTTGGTGTTTTTTAATTTTTTTTTAGTTTTTCGAGATATAGTAATGGTTAAATATTTCAGAATTATGTTTTAAGTTTCATCAAAATCGGACGACTATAGCATATAGCTCCCATAGGAACAATCGTATAGCTGCCATAGGAACTATCGAATAATTAAGCTGCAAATCATCATAGCTTCAATGTTTCTAAACATACACGCAAGTAAATCATAATTTTAACGTTTTAAAGAGTATTTAGTTTTTGAAATATCTGCAAGGGTATATGAACTTCGGCTTGCCGATGTTTGCTTCCTTTCTTGTTTTTTATATAATCTTCGGCTTTCTGAAGTTAGCTTCCTTTCTTGTTATTGTATAAAAATGACATAATTAACAGAAATGTCAAAATTTATTAACACATTCTAAAAGTTTTCTCAAGTAAAGCAAAGATTAGGTCAAAATTTGAAGTACGAGATTAAATGGCTGAAGTAAAGTCTCCAAAACATTGAAAGCTTTTTATAACACAGGAAACAGTTTAACGAACATTTGCAAAACAGGGTGTAAAATAGTGCTACACAGCTTGCTAGTATGTAGTATATTTTCATAAATGTCCACTGGTAAATGTTATAATACTTGTGTCCCAGTACATCCAGTAAAAAACTCATATAGAAGGGTGTTCATTGTCAGACCTTGGGACTCAGGATCTTTTGTAGTAAATAGGATATCGTTGAATTAAACGCACGAAGTGTATAAGGGAAAAATTGAGTTTATTACAAGGAAATAAGAAGATGAGTCAGTCTCATTTCAGGATTCAGACTAGGTAAGGAAATCAAAAAGTTTATATTTAAATCAATTTTAGCGTAATATCTAGGTGGGTTTAAACTTAATCTCTAAATTTCATGTGTTTGGGCTGTAGAATAGATCATACTTAGATTCATTCGGAACATCATTTGTGTGGCATTATCGTCTCAATGCATTATATAATCCAAATCAAACTTGGCCCCAATTCGAGGGGTTCGCTGTTTCCTTGGCTTGTTTACCTGCCAATGATACAAATACTTTAACATATAATAGTTTTTTACAGGATTGACGAATTTATGCACCTGTGTGCAAAAAAAAAAAAGAGAATATCGGAAACGGCATCCTTTCATTTTATTTCAATACAATTGCATTTAAATCAAGATAGATTCACCTGGCTTGAAGATGATCCTACGGATACATCCGTGGTGGCTATTGTGTCGAATCCAGTTTCGGACTGTGAAGTGGATGGCTGCTTGTGTTCAGAAAATATATATTATTTCGATGTCGACTACACAGACAGGCGTCCGTATTGCTCACCTGAATCTTAAGCGTTTGGATCAGCTCAGCAGTCTGTTCAATGGTCGATTTCTCCGGCTGACTAGAACGCGACTTTGTCCCAATGGTTTCCGTCAATGATTTCTGCATTGGAAAAAAAGGGGGAGAGGAAACGAATGGCATTCAAATTCAAAGCTCTGACCCCTGAAGTGTAAAGACATTCCCTCACCGGTTCGGAATCCTGGCGACCCGTGCGCTTTGTATTCTTCGGCCGATACGCCTGTATGGGTACAAAATCCTGTATGGACGAGTAACGCGGTGCCACATTGTTGATCTCCTTCAGCTGCTGGCCAGGCGGTTGATATTGTTGTTGATGGTACTGTTGGTATTGCTGTTGCTGCTGTTGCTGTTGCTGCTGCTGTTTCATGCGCACGTTGTTGTTGAAGGCACTTTGTGCAGCTATGTTGTTGCTGGGACGTGACTGATTTCCATTGTTAAACGGAGTGGAGTGGGGTTGATTCGAGAGCTGCACATGCACCTGGAACTTAGGCTGGCGCTGGAACTGCGGCTGTTGCTGCCTCATTTGGGGACCTTTTAGGGATCGCTGGTCCATCTCCGCTCCCGGATGGACATTTCTGTACCACTGCTGACTCTTGATGCGATCAGCATCATGCTGTTTTTTCTGCTGCTGCTGCTGCTGTTGCTGTTGCTGCTGCTTCTGGGCCTGCTGTTCCTTTTGGGCCTCTTGCTGCCAGAAAAGCGGTGGCTTCGGAAGATTCTCCAGTGAGAAATGGGCAGAAGTCACGGGCAATTGTCCGCTAGCTGGAGCTTGATGCAGCGGTGCGGCTAGAGGTGGCGGAGAGTCCTGATCCTGGACCTGGTTTGGGTCCTTCTTCAAGCCCAGCAACGACATGAGTGCCAGGGTCTGAGCCTGTGGCGTAGCTGTTGGTGCCAATGGCGCTGCCGTGGGAGCAGCTTGAGCCGGAGCAACGGACGAACTGCCGCCTTGCTGCCGCGATGACGATGACGATGACGATGTGTTTCGCCAATTTTCTGGCGGGGGCTGCTGCGACTTGGTCGGTGGAGCAGTAGCACGTTGCTGGCGCCAGTTGGCAGTTGGTTCCGGTGTGGCCTGCACCTGCGATTGCGACTGCGATTGCGACTGCGATTGCGGCTGTGTGTGTGCCGACTTGAAGCGGTCCGATTTGGCCTTTGGGGAATCAGCACGCGTCTTGAGAAAGTCGTCGGCTATCTGTGTCTTCATCGTGATCGGCATCCAGTCGGAGCCAGCGGCGGTCATGTAGCGACTGCTGGTCGCCTGTTGGGACTCCCGCAAGTTCGCACGCTCATTTTCGGCCTGGTTCCTGATCTGCTGAGGAGCCTGCGACGGCTGTGCAGCTCTGTCCTTCTGTCCTTGCTCTGAAATAGAAATTTGCTCCATTATTTGTAGTCGAACGATGTATCTGGGCTGAGGCCGGGAAGTCAACTGAGACTTTGTGAGATTTAAGTTTGCAGGTTAGACCCCCGCCTACTAAGAATACGTTTTAAAACCCTTGCAGTGTCAAGGAACTGATCCGATAAAACCATCATATCAGGCAAAAAAAAAAGCAGAGAGATATTAACATTATTCTTAGAAAACAATACAATTTGTGGGAGCTAACGAACGGGACGATTTTTAGCCCGATCAGTTTATACATAAAACAACACAGGTGACAAACTTCGGCAAGCCAAAATAGTTGTAGTTATAAACGAAAGTGGTTAAATACACAAGACTCCTGTTTCTTAATTTGTCCGATAAACAAAATCATGTTTAAAAAAACCTTTGACATTTTTATAGCTTTTCAAAGGAAATAATAATTTATAATTACTTAAAATGCGCTTTTCAATTTACTGCAATTAATATCAATATTTTACAATTAAAGAAAATAAATTCAATAGAAATCAAAGCAGTTAATGAATATTTTACAATTATTATAAGTCAAAGTAGTAAATAAATATTTTACAATTATTATTATTTATTTTACAAAATTAAATTCAATCAAAATCAAATACTTTTACAATGTCAATATTTAGTGAACTTTATCAATTGATTTTTTTAATTAATCGGGAATATTTCCATTAATGTAAAAGTATTGAACTTGTATCGTCATGATAAAAAACAAAAATAAATAACCATAAAACCGCGTTTATCTACACTTTGTATTGGAATACTAATGTTTTACTATTTTGTTTTTTAAATTAAAAGTTAAAAGTAAAAAATATTGTTTTTTTCCAAAATATTTCAAATTTTTCTAGGTATAAACTATGATAAATGTGCTTTTTTAGATTTGCCACATTTAGTTTGTAATAACCCATTTGTAGCTTTACAAAAATATGAAAATATGTTTTAAATGTGGCTTTCAAAGTATTTTTGATTTCCATTTACACAAGCTGAAGACTACAATTATTTTAATTATTTACCCTTGCAGCTAATATTCTATAAAACGACAATTTTTGGATTTGTATGCGTAACATAATTGCTTGAAAACAATAAAGCTGTGACGATTTTCGGATGCAATTTTGGATCGTTTCTATGGCAACTATACGTTATTATCCGATTTATATAAAAGTAACAAAGCTATTCTAAAACGATAATGGAGTATATTCGTATAAATTTAAAAATATCGAAGCTATATTTTTATACCCTTGCAGAGGGTATTATAATTTCAGTCAGAAGTTTGCAACGCAGTGAAGGAGACATCTCCGACACTATAAAGTATATATATTCTTGATCAGCATCACTAGGCGAGTCGATCTAGCCATGTCCGTCTGTCCGTCCGTCTGTCCGTCCGTTTATATGCAAACTAGTCTCTCAGTTTTAAAGCTATCTGCATGAAACTTTCCCAAAAGTTGTCTTTCTATTGCAGGTAGTATATAAGTCGGAACGAGCCGGATCGGACGACTATAGCATATAGCTCCCATAGGAACAATCGGAAAAATAATTGAAAAAAATTATAACTTTGCTGTTTTTTAATTTTTTGTTTAGTTCTTAGACATATAGCAATGGTTAAATAATTCAGAATTATGGTTTAAATTTCATCAAAATCGGACGACTATAGCATATAGCTCCCATAGGAACAATCGGAAAAATAATTGAAAAAAATTATAACTTTGCTGTTTTTTAATTTTTTGTTTTGTTCTTCGACATAAAGCAATGGTTAAATAATTCAGAATTATGGTTTAAATTTCATCAAAATCGGACGACTATAGCATATAGCTCCCATAGGAACAATCGGAAAAATAATTGAAAAAAATTATAACTTTGCTGTTTTTTAATTTTTTGTTTAGTTCTTCGACATATAGCAATGGTTAAATATTTCAGAATTATGGTTTAAATACGCAAGTAAATCATAATTTTAATGTTTTCAAAAATATTTAATTCTTGCGATAGCTGCATGGGTATATGAACTTCGGCTTGCCGAAGTTTGCTTTCTTTCTTGTTTTCATTTATATATAGACTCGGTTGTAGTCTTGGGATCCGCCCCTTTGAAATTGCAATCGACCTGCAACAGAAAGATGACTTTTAAGAAGAGTCTGGCTAGATCGACTCTTGTAGCAATGCTGATCGAAAATATATACTCTACGTTGCTTTGCAAACTTGTGACTAAAATATAATACACTCTAAAAGAGTATAAGAGCTCTGAGATTAAACATTTTTGACATTGTCGTTCCGATCAAACTTAATCTGCGTACATATAAAAAAGGACGATTGCGTTTAATCTGGACTCGGTTATGGCTATATCAACTCGTATAGTTATGCTGATCATTACTATAAACACTTTACACACACAACACTCTGCAGGGGTATTAAACAGTACAATACAAGTTCCAATGAAAATATGGTAATGCTCCCTTCGCAAATGCGAATTCCGAGTAAAGCACCCACCGTTCGTAAAGATGACCACCAGGGCGTTCTCGGGCACCTTGTACACCCGGTCCGGGGCGATGCCGTGGATGTCGTTGCAGTTGGGCACGGCCCGGTCGAACAGCACCTCACAGAAGGTGTCGACGGCGTGCACGCACTCCAATCTGACCGGATTGGGATCGGTGACCGGGTGGATGCCGATCACGGTGCCCTTGATGCCCACGGGCACCATGTAAATGGTGCGCACGATGATGACGCGGTCGAAGAGACGCACTGGACGACGGGATCGGTAGGCCTCGGGCAGCGTGACATTTGGCTTGATGAGCAGGTGCGGCTTCACCTGCAGCTTGACATCCTTCACGGGCAGTGAGCGCAGCTCGTCGACGGCGGCCATCAGAAGCTCGACAGTCTCGCGGCAGACAGTCTTGGAGCCGCACGAGATGCGCTCCACCTTCATGTGTGGCTGCTGGCGCACCCAATTGGACAGATCCTCGACCTTGTGCTGGCCCACTGAGTGCGGGAAGACGTCCTGCTCGAAGACATACTCGCCGCGGTCGCTGCTGACGCCGAAGAAGGCCACCACGTCTGGGAAACGCTGGCAGTAGTCGCGCATCAGTTCCAGGGCCAAGCTGGAGTAGAACCACTGGTTGCCCGAGCGGCAGCAGTAGCCGGCTCGCTCCTCGTTCTGCCGCGGGTATTTCAGCTGCAGCCCAATGTTGTGCTTGGCCACGTTCTCCATTTTCTCGCGCCGCGGACCGAGCACCACCCAAACGGTGCCGGTGAGCCTTCCCAGCGCCCGCCCGTTGATGTTCAGGATGTGGCAGACCTCGTACGTGTTCAGCAGATCCTTGTCGCGCTCCTCCTGGAACATGCGTGCTGCCTTCACGTCCGGTTCCGGACGCACCCGTATGTTGACTGCAAGCAAACGGATGAGGATTACACACGTGGTCCGGATGAGACAATGGGACTACTCAGCGGTCTTACCCTGTATACGACCGCAGGTGTAGGCGAGCATTGGGTCCTGGACAGTGCCCTCGCTGCCGAAATACGGATTGCCGATGAAGAAGACCGGACTGCCGACGGGAAAGAAGTCCTCCACCTTGCGGAACTGCTTGCGCATGTTCTCCTGGACGGCCAGTTCGGCCACCACGCCCTGGGCGGGATAGCCGGTGACGGCGCTGCTCCACGCATCTCGCATTTTCAGCGACCCCTTGGCGCCGAACTCCATGGAGCTGCCGGCAAAGGTGCGCACGTAGACGAGCACGTCGTAGTTGGCGAACTTGATGCCCATGCGCGTGGTGAAGCTAAAGAGAGAGGCGGATGGAAAGACGGACGGAGAAGTGGGGCGAATTAGGAGCATTAGGCGCCAGGCGCTGGCAGCGGTTTCACACTCAACTGTTCCTGCAGCGACTTGCACTCCGAGTCGAAGCGACGCGGATCGTTCGGTGAGATGCCCTCCTCGTCCACGCGCTGCTCCCGCGTGGCCACGCGCACCACCTTCGCCTTGATGAGATGCGGCCAACCGATGTGCACCACCTGCTCCAGATACTGCCCGGCCACCGCCTCCAGGGTGTCCTCCAGCTGGCGTCTGCGCGGCATCAGCACCATGTTCTGATTGCGGCTCACCTGTTCGAACACCTTGACGCGATCGTGGCGCAGCTCGAACTGCAAGCGGTATCAAGTGGCATTAGGAGCTGCTGACTGATGACTGGGGCAGCGTCTACTCACGTCGAAGGGCAGGTGCTGCATGGTGGGGAAGCCCGGAAAGAAGACATGCCTGGCCGCATGGGGCAGCTCAACGCACACGCTGTGCGGCAGGTTGAGTGCGATTTCGTGCGACCACTTGGCCACCTCCGTGCAGTAGAGATGTGGCAGCGACCGCAGCGGCGGATGCCCGGCCATTGGGCCCTGCGACTCGGCACTGTGGTTGTACACGTACATCGGTCCGTGGCGGTTGCGCTCCCGCTCCGAGTTGGTCAGCAGCGCCTCGCACGGCACCATGGCGCTGAGGAGACGCCGCTCGTCGATGAACGGTATCAGCACCACCGCCTCCCAGTCGTGCTTCTTGCCGTTGAGGTCGCTCTCGAACTCCAGCGGATAGAACTCGGCCAGCGGGCTGCTCGGCAGCAGCATGAGGTCGTGGTAGGCGGACGGCAGCAGTTTGCAACTGGCCGCCGGTAGAACGGCCAAGAGCTGCGCAAAGAATCGAGAGGCGGGTACTTCAAATATATATCTTGTAAGTTTTTTATGTTATATTGCAAATTACCACTGCGCATATTGAATCAGCGAACCAGCGAAACTAACATACAATAATTATCTCATTTCGCAAATATGACTGCCATATTTAATTAAGGATAACAGATAACAAATCTTAATAGTTTCAGATTTAAAATTCATATAAGAAGCAAGGAAATAGAAAACTAACATACGATATTGTGATATCCCAGGCGAGCTTAAAGCCTCCAGCTACTTGAGCTCCTTGAAAACTCACTGTAAGCAAATAATTATAATTAATTTGATTGACAAAAAAATAATCACAATTTAATGATTATTATTCAAGTATTATTTGATCACTCATTAAATAATTGTTATTGTTTTGGGCAAAAATATATTACTCTAAAAATAATCATTCTTTTTTAGCAATCATTTTTCGATCCAAAATTTCGCTGAAAGTCGAATAACATTTTTTGTGTAGCATTCTTGAAATATATTGATTCTTAAGCTTATTAGGTGAATTTTTTTTTATCAAGGAAATAACAAGTTTAGAAAAACGGTCGAAAAAATGCAGCTGAAAATCGCAACAGCCTCATTGTTTTTATACATAACGCATAAAAATGAAATTTTAGTCGCTGTAAAAATATTTAGTTTTTGTAAAAACTTGCAGGATATTTCAACTTATTTTATTCTTTAAGCTTAAAAATAACCATAATAATACATCTTGAAGAAGACTTTCTTGGGCTACCGAATCTTTAAAATTAGTGGTCTGATTTGCAGCACTATTTTAAACATAACCTTTGACACCTGGTTTAGAGCGAGATAGGTATATAATCTTTAGTATTTTCAGTGCTATACTGTAGATTAAAACCTCATTGCTAAAACTTAAAATTTTAACTAAAAACATCAATCGTTTCAGTTCATAAGGCCAAAGTTCTTTTCAAAATTCGTTCGATTTTATTAACATGAAAATTGTAAATCACAAAATCTCTCAACATTTTCGGTTTTGAAAACCGATAATGGTAAAACTTTTATAAGTCCAAACTTTTTAATTTGAGCTTAATTAACTCGAACCAATATCGTTTAGCAACTAGATTTTGTACTATATTTTCTAGATATTTTGAATTTACCTTAAACGTGGCCCAAATATTTATTCCGTGCGAACATTCACTCCAGCTAAAGTCGAATTTTCCGAACAAAACTTAAATTGCATTTCTTTAAAGTCAATGCTCAAAATTTTTCACTTAATACGTTGAACAAATTCTTGATAATCTGCCAGTTTGTGGAATGCATTCTAAAGACGATTTATGTTTAATTCGGTGAGTTTTAAATATGTTACTTTTTATTGAGAAAGAGGCAATGGTCCTGTGCTAAATTAAGCACAGAAACAAGTTTAAAAGCTTAAAAGTATCAATTATATTAAAGCATAACATGAAGATCTCTAACTTCAAGTTGCTTTAATTGTGTTGTTTTCAGACCTAGTATTTGAATTGAACTATTCGAAAACCAATTTATAAATGAGAAGGGGAGTCAAGCTATGAGACTGCCCTCGGAGAGTAGAAAAGAGCAACTCACCTGCTGGAATGGTAGAAAGGGCGTCCCCAGCTGGAAGTTGATCTGCACCTGCTCGATGTTCTTGAGGTCACTGATGAAGGGGGCATAGTGGAAGGGGTAGTACCAGTCCCAGGACTGGACGCCGCGGTAATAGTAGTCGAGGACCCACTGCAGCGCGTTCACGTAGTGGTGGCCCAGCTCCTCGATCAGTTGGCTCTGCTGCATGTCGCTCTTGAACTTGTTGCGATAGAAGTTGCGTTTGTAGTTCTGGAACTCGTGCATCAGGCCCGCCGCCTCGTCGCTCCAGTCCTCCTCGCTGTCGTCCTCGTAGAGCTGTAAAAAGAAGGGGTTGGCAATGAGTGGAATCGAGGGATATGTAGGCCCACCTTCGTGCTTTGGTCAATGAGCGCGGCTAGGTCCGAGTCGTGGCTCTCGTTGGCGGTGATCTCGGCCACGTCGATGTCGAAGGCCTCCGTCTTGGCGTTCATGTACTTGAGGTCGTCGGCATGCTCCTTAAACTGGTCGAGCTCCACCTCTGTGAGGGCCGACATGAAGATCTGCAGGCGCCGCAGGTTGAGCTTGCCGTTCTCGTTGATGTTGCCGCCGAGGGTGGGGTAAATGCGAATGTAGGTGCGGTAGAGCAGGGGCAGGGCGTTGGAGGAGATGTGGAGGCAGGGCAGATGGGGCACAAAGTCGTTGCCGACCATGAAGCCCATCAGCACCCAGTCATCGATGAGCTGCGCCACATCCAGCCTCCGCTCCGGAGTGCTGAGGGCGTCGAACTCCAACTCCAGGTACTCCCGCAGCAGGCCCAAATGCAGCAGAAAGAAGCGCGTCTCCTCCACGGAGGCACGCTTCACGTTCCGCCCGAACTTGACCTCCTCGCGCAGCACCACGAAGTGCAGTTCGTGGGTGCACAGGCCCAGGATGATCAGGTCGGCGTCCAGGCCGTACAGGCAGTGTCGCGTGTTGGGATCGAAGTCCGGCTGCGCCTTCATATAGCGTATGTAGTCCATGATCTTGTGCTCGCCCTCGCCGGGCGTCTCCTGGCCACTGAGGATCACGGTGCAGCGCTGCCACAGCGGGTCCGTGGAGATCTTGGTCTTGAGGAAGGCGCGCAGCCCGTCCTGCAGCCGCACCATGAACTCGGTGCCCGGCGTGATGCAGTTGCTGTCGAAGCGCTCGTGCTCCCGCCGCTCGCCGCGCTGCGCCGCCTTCACCTCCAGCTGCTCGGCCTCGCGCGCCGACCGGAAGCGCCGGCTGCGCTGCTGGTTCATCTTGGCCCGCGGGGCCACACCGTCGACGGCCAGAAAGAAAAGGCGCTGCGGCTTGATCAGGTAGAACAGCTTGTCCACGTAGTTGAAGATCTCCTGGAATATCTGGTGCTCCTCGAGGTGGAAGTGGATGTTGTTGTCGTCCGGATGCGAGCAGTTGTGCACGATGCCGTTCATGTCCAGATACAGGTTGTCGAACTCGGGAATCTGCAAACAAAGGTAGCTTGTCGGTGCTTCACATGGCCTCCGCGTCGTCTCCACTTGCACTTACGCTATGCTCCCGCGCCAACTCGCTGAGGCACGGATACCGCTCGCTGATGTAGCGAAAGAACTTAGGAACACCCATCTTGCTGCTGTGGGATCTGCTGTGGGATGTGCTGTGGGATGGCTCCTCGCAACGCGTCCTTGGTCAACGAAAATTTTGGTTTTACTTGCGAATTTGATCTGTCGTGCTAGCGACGGCACTATCGTACGGTCAGTTCGTGTCGGTGGTGTCCTTCACTATCGCCAAAGTATCGAATTGTCTTTGTACCTAGGCTAGGTACAAAGTGGTTTGAAAAACAGGTAAACAGATTGCATATGAGTAACGTTACCATTAGTAACTTAAAAAACGATATGCGCCATCAATTCGAGAACTTGGAATTAAAACTTTTTTATTGATTCTGTAAAAAAAAAAAGAAAATAAAATTTAAGGAAAGAGCGACACGTAAGATATACATTTAGATTCAACTATTTGAGAGCTTCGTTTCAATTAGAGCCCTGCATAAGATGTGTCATAGATCCCTCATATTCTAAAAAATAGGTCCGAATAAATCAGGTCGAAAATTGATTTTTGATTTGAATACTTTATCTGATCTCATCGCTCGAAAACAGATCAGCATTACAAAAATACCGAAGGGCAATGGACACGATTCTCCCAGAAGTAACACTGTTAGTGTCCAATATGTCCGGTTAGGATTAATGTACTCTCCGTCTACTAAGCCAAAAAAAAGAAGCAAATTGATTGTTTTTGAAAACCCGAGATTTGCCGACTGGTAATTGAGCACAAAATCTTAAAACTTTTTTAAGTGTCCTATTTATTTAAAAAAAAAATGCATTTTAAAGGAACGGGCAAAAATTATAAAAAATGTAAATTCAATTGTTTTAAAGCTCCGTATCAATGTACAAATTAAAACCAAATTAATGTTCATCAAGTATACCATAACCAAGTAAATTAAAAATCTAACTGATCGTTTTTTGTACCTACGTCAACTTTAGCACGGACTCAACCCCAAGCCAATATGACCTGGCCACACGTTGACGTTCCCAAATCAAAACAAATCACACATCTGGTCACACTGACGAACAGCTGTTTTCTCAACTGCCAAACGCTTGTGTTCCAAATTTTACGTAATTCGTATTTGGAAGCCGATATTGTGATCACTCCAGACCGCTTAGCGAAATGTCGGCCCTCCGCCAAGTGATGTGCAGAGGCACCGCCTCCCTGCAGCTGTAAGTGGCTTCTGTTTCCCCTAAAACGACTTGCTAATCCATCTACATTTCCTCCGACCTTCGGCTTGCGGCAGGTATCAGGCCAATAAGTTGGCCGCCGCCCGCTGGGCATCTGCATCCTCAGCCCCGCAGGACAGCGGTCCACTGGACCCCAAAACGGCCCTGGCTAGGCCCGAGGAGCTGGACCAGCGCAACAAGCTGAGCGGCAAGATCACCGTGCCCACGGCCGTCAATCTGGGCCCCATTTCTGGCGTGCCCGAGGAGCATCTGAAGGAGCGGCGCGTACGCATCCATATTCCGCCCAAGAACGCCATGCAGAGCGGCACGGACAACATTAACACCTGGCAGATCGAGTTCGACAACCGCGAGCGCTGGGAGAACCCGCTCATGGGCTGGGCCTCCAGGTGAGTTATCAATGAGACAATGAGTTATCATCCATACAGAGCACTAACCACCAACCACCACCCACTACTGCCTACAGCGGCGATCCACTGTCCAACATGAACGTGCAGTTCGGATCCCCGGAGGAGGCCATCACCTACTGCGAGCGCAACGGCTGGCGCTGGTACGTCGACGGCGCCGAGAAGCCCAAAAAGGAGCGCGTCAAGAACTACGGCATCAACTTTGCCTGGAATAAGCGCACGCGCGTCTCCACCAAGTAGGAGGCTCCATTCGAGAGCTAGCCAGGATCATAGACAACAATTCAACTATTTTTTTTTTTTGCTTTGTTCATTATCTGAATACCTAAATAAACAGTCGGCTGGACTAGGAATTACTCTAATGGTCAGAAGTGTGGTATTTATGTTTCCCGTAGTGCTGCCTGCGGTGCTCTTGCTGCTCCCGATGTCTGTGTCCATGGCGGTGCCTATCTGGGCTGCGACTTCTGCTCCGGCTTCGTTTCCGGCTGCGGTGTTGCTCCCTGTGCCGCTCCATGTGCTCCTGATGATGCTCCCTAAGCTGCTGGTGCCTTTCCCTATGCTCCTTGTGCTTCTGATGGCTCTCCTTATGCTTCTGATGGTGCTCCTTGTGCCGCTCCCTATGATCCTTGTGCTCCCGATGCCTATCCCTGTGATCCTGCTCGCGTTGCCTTTGTCTCTGCAGCGCCTGCATCTGCAGATCGACCAACTGCTGCAGCTCCTCGTTGAGCGTGGGTTTGCTCTTGCGGTGGCGACGCTGCTTCTTCCGCTCCCTCCTAGTTTCGCCCACAAGCTCGGCAAAGGCGGCATTGTCCTGGAACTCTGGGTGCTTGGCGGTGTGCTGCAGGACGTGCTCATAGATCAGGAGTCTTTGGCTGGCATTGAGCCCTGCCTGCAGATCATCGAAGGAGGAGGGATGGACTGGACTGCCCTTTCCCACAATGCGCTGGATATCCGTGCTATCTAGCTGGAGGCTAAAAGCGGAATTGGTGCAGCAGGAGGCGGGCAGTTGCTCCAAAGTCTCAGATGCGAGTCCCTCATCGGTTGGCGACTGGTGTTCCTGCGGAAGCCCAAAGGACACTATTAGACCAGCTTCCGCCTGCCAACTTCGGCTGTTGTGACTTGCCCCGAGCACCCCCTCCTCGCTCCAGTGCAGGCGTTTCAGGAGGTCATGCAGACGCCTTCTGCTGGCGGCCACAAAGAGACGCAGCTGCTCTCGATCCCGATCTCCGCCAGACATAACTATTAATAGCCACAACAAAAAGAGCACAGACAACTGGGCAGTGTTGGGAAAGCCGAAAATGCCTGGCCAGTGCTGCAGAACGCAGTGTGTATTTACAAGACTTCAAAAGTCTGGAATCAGGATGATTTAATTATAAATAAATAGTGCAGCACGCAGTGGACACTCAGCTCCAAAAGAGGACGGTGAAGGCCATGATCAGGCAGGCGGCTCCCACCCAGGGCGACTTGCGCTCCCCTATCCTCGCCAGCTTCCAGAAAGTGCCCAGGAACCTGCGGTCAGAGATTGGAGGTTTGAGTGGGCAAACAGGATGGGGGATTCGGATGGAGAACTACTCACCCGGTTTTGTTGCGGTCGATGATGCTGGGGAAGAGGGAGCGCAGGTAGGCACAGGTGCAGATCAGCAGCAGGATGACCGAGAGCAGGCTCTGGAAGTTGAACAGGGCACTCTGTGGAATGGGCGGAAAGACGAAGGATTAGTCAACGGCACTGAGTCTTGGCCATGAGGTGCGTTTCATACCATGATTTTGCAAATCGGCTGGGGATTTCGGCGCTTGCAATAAAAACAAACTTCAAACTAGTGACGTGCCATCTGTTCGGCGACAGCGAACTGGTTCTAAGATCCGATGAACGACTGGTTCGATAGCATGTCAATAACATACCGCTGACCGTTTTTGAAATAACTGGACGGTTTATTGTGAATTTAATATTGTACAAATTACAACAAAAGTCCTTTGAACTACATATATATTTTTTGTTTTATAAATTTTTTAATATCGTTGCCAGTAAAATCCGACTTTTAAATTTCGAGCTGTTTCCATAAAGTCTTTTCTGAGATTATTTAGTGTCATGTTTCCAGCTACTCCCGAATATCAAATTTTAATTTTTCTTTGACAATTGGATAGTCCAAAAATGTTTTAAATATTTTCAATTCTATAAAAGTATTAATTTTTCTCTTTGCAGACTTTTAAATTATTTGACAAACAAAGTTTTAATTCATTGGTGCTTTTTCTACTGTTTCGATACCTTTCAAGTGAGATTTATCGATGGTTGCAGGAACAAAATCGGTGCCTGCTAGCATCGATAGTATCGGATAGTCATCGATTTTTGTTCCAGCTCTACAATTTGTCTGCAACTTCTAATTCGCTGCGGGTATTTTTTTATTGTGTTTGTTGTTACATATAATCTGATCAATTTCGATCGTCCGTTGACAAAGCAGTGTGTTTTTGCTCTGTTCGTTAGAGCTTTGTTTTGGCCAAGTTCCGTGAAACTGCGCCAATTAAACGTTTCGTTTGCGCCACTCTGTGCTTTCGGTTTTCGGCCCATTTTCTTCCGTTTTCGTTTCGTTTTTGCTTCCACTTGGAATTGCGTTCGCGAGGGGATGAAGGAAAAGGGGAGGAGAGGAGACTCCCGACAAAGTGCATCCCTCGTCCCGTGCGTGTTTGTGCGTGTGTGCTGGTACTAGTGCTAGTACTAGTGCCAATGCAATTGTAGCTGAGCGCGCTCATAAAAATCAAAAGTATATTTAGATATACATGTATATATAATAATCGGATAAGTTTTCTCGTTTCGCTCGCCCGTGCTCATGTGTGTGAGTATTTAAATCAGTAATATCACAACAGAGGGGGCCTGTTTGCCTGTGTGTGCGGAGCGCGCTGCGTTTTGTTGTTGAGTGCGAGCGGGAGGGACAGCGTACGGAGAGAGAGAAACAGAGCTGCAACAACAGCATTAGCAGCAGCGATGACTACCAGTCGCTGCACTGGCATAGCGGTAAGTTTTAGCGAATGCGATTTCAAATAAAAATACTAAGCTTAGTTCCGCGATTCCTTGAATGTGTATTTATGTAAGTACACACACACACACTTGTATGTATAGCTGACGTCGACGCTTACAGCGCTGTTAGCTGCTAACAGCACAGTAACGACCATTCGCTTAGGTTCGGATCCAAGTTATCGGGAAGCTTAGTGCAAGTGAAACGTGTGTGAAAAGTGTGAGATACAGACAAGTGCCCACCATTAATCGAGTCCCTACCCCCGAACCCCCGAAACGGATCCGATTAATTGTGCAAAGGCACCAGGACACATCGCACTGAAACGAAGGTGAGTTGCATTTTTATTGGTTCTTTCAGTGCTTTTCATGACACATTCACCCACGGACGTACATCCGCAGAAACCCAGGCACATGCGCAGAGAGGAATACTAACACTAGTAACTAGTACCAGTGAGTCGCTCTAGTGTGCGCTCTTTATTTTTGTTTTTAGTTTTGCTCCACTCCGCCTTCTGTATTCATCGGGTGCATTTATTGTTATCGGTTTCTCTTGTACCCGAGTTGGAAGTCGCAGCGTGTGCTTTGATTTTGTATAAACGGTAAACTATGTGGTTATAGTGGCATGTTATTGATTTCGGTGTTTCTGAATGGAGGAGCATTTACGCAATTGTTTTGTGATTTTTCTGGTGTACACGGAAAGATTCTCTTTGTGGTTTTGCCACTACTCTCTCTCCCTCTCGCACACGCTGGCCGGTGGCACACATGCACAGACAAACGCACACTTCGAAAGAGGCCGCCATTTCTTTTCTGCGCAGCTTTTACAGTGTTGCATTCTGCCGCGCAATGTTGCTACTGCCGGGGGAGCTTTTTTGGCCCTTGTTTTGTGCACCTCATTCTTTCAGATGTTTCTGTTATTCCGTTATTGCTTATGTTTCATGCGATACTTAGAAGCTATCGGTTTTAGGGTTTCGTGTTAAATAGTCGTCTGCAGATTCCAACGAATTTATTACTTGTCCAGAAAAAAAATCTACGCTTTATAAACAGATAAACGGGACTTGACATCTTGGAAGCTTTATTTTGGGTTTAACATTCATGTTTATATTTTTGTTAAATTATGAAAAAAACATATGAATCCAGGGAGGGGATATTCATATCTAAATAAATAAGCATGTGTAACAATTTTGTAGTTTACTAGCTGGTTTTTAAATTAGATGAAGATAAAACAAGACAGAAAAGATTCTTCGGCAGACAAAAGTTTATGGACTGATAAGAAGCGAAATTACAGTCTTAACGGCTTAGAATTTTTTAAGCCTTTGAAACGCCGTTTAAACAAGTCTTGCCTATTGAAGTAGCATTGTACATATTTTTTTAACCAGCTAATTTTGTCATATCGCATAAACCTATGTCAGGTTTCCATATGTTCAGCAGAGGTTATAATTAATAATCCTTAGTGATTTCCATTTTAATGCATTAAAAATAAAACCAAGAAAAATAATAAAAAAAAATACATTTGTGTGCCTCTGAAAAAATAACTTGTAGTTGGCTTATTGACAAAGTTTGACACGAACCCATCTCTATTAGAAATTATTGTCAAGAGTTTCCAAAGGTGGTGTAAGGGACGAAAATGCAATAAAAGTTTATCGTGTAATGACACGCAAATTGAGATTAAGACAATATTACAAATCGTTTTACATATGTATTTATCAAGCGAGCTATGCCGTTGAAGTCTTGGTATTTGAACAAATTATAAATAAATACGTAGATTTTAAAGTAAACTGCGTATTTAATATTACCAAATTTTTATCGTTATACTTTTTTAAAACAAAAATCTTTGGGTTTTAAGTTAAAAGTTAATTCTTTAAACGTATTCTTATTGAACAGCTTTAGAGAACCTCTATAAATATGTATGTACATATATTGAAGTTATTATTTTGAGCATTAATAAATTTAACGAAACAAAGGTACAATTATATTGGCCAAAACAGGAATTTACTTTCGTTTTCATGAATGTACAAAAAATATGTTAAAAATTTATGTATAATATATTGTCTAAAACCAGCAATTTTAATATTATCCATTTTTTTTATTTACGCCTTGAACCTTAACATTTTCGTTTTTTAGTTTAGACTGAATTTTTTTTATTTCTTTGTAAAACCGCCTAAATTACCCATCCGCTATTCACGTATGCAAAAAAAAGAACATTGTTAGGAAATATATTAAAAAAAAATAGTTGCTTAAAAACATTTATTTAGGCACTCGCTATTTTATTTAACTGTGCAACTTATTTGAATCTTCGGATAAATCCAGTGATGGAAATAATTATATATTGTGTTGTGTTTAGGTGGTTTTGAGGTGCTGTTGTTTTGGCCGCAGCTGTTGCGCTATTTACCGCTGCCTTTCGTAATCCCTGCATAGACAAACGATTCGGATTCGGATTCCGATTGTGATTACCGCCGACAATCGGCGACGTCGGTCGCATCGGTACCAGCTTTTTGCTTTTTTCTTTTTGCTTGTTGCTCTTCGCTCGGCGATCGCTCGCGTGCCGTTTTCGCAAGTCTGGGGGCTCCGCACTTGACTCGCTCTGCTTTTTGCTTTTTGCTCATTCCGATTTTGTCAAGCGACGTGTGCGGAACTGAAGTGAAAGAGGCGGTTCGGCGAAATCGCATTGTACTTTCGTTTCTTGTGGTGTTGTTTGTGCCGTGTGCCCCGAGTCAAATCGAATCAAAATAAAAAATTCGTGTTCTTCCTTTTTTGTGTACCAAGAAATTAGCGGCGTTCTACCAACGAACAACCACCCGTTCTTTTTTTTTTTTTTATTTTTTAATTTGTTTTTTTTTGTTTTGTAACACAACAAATCGCGTGATCTTGTCGAGTGTCGGCAGAAATCGAGTTTTCCAGGAGATCAGGCGCGCGCACTGCTTGCCTTTTGTGCGCACCACAACTACTGCTTGCATTCCGGGGCGATGGCTCAGTCGACTGCGACTTCGCCGCGCTACACCGGCTTTAACCCCCTGAGCCAGACCCAGACTCAGACCCAGACCCAGACCCAGAACCTCAGCAACCCGGCCACGGATCCGGATTTGGTGGCCCCCTTGTGTACGTATAGTGCAGATACACCCCTGCCCCCCAGCCCCCCCAGTCCCCTTGCCCACCATTTCACCACCATTTGTGCTGACTACTCGATTGTCTGGACGCCCTCCCGTGCAAACGCTTGACCAGCAGTTATGTGGTTTAATGACACTCGTTGGCTTATTAACACAGTTATGAAGAACGCGGGTTAGGGTTCTCCCACACCTCGTCTTTTGATAATCCGCCACTCTCTTTCGCACTTGTTTCGAGTGTGTAACACAGCATTGCCATTTACGTCGTTTGTTTATGCATCGCTGTCGCTTCTCTCCGCGTACCATCCCGTCATCTCATCATCCCGACATATCATCATCGTCTCAACTCAACTCAACTCAACATCGCATCGCATAGCATCGGCAAACCCAACAAGTCTCTGACTAAAACGCTTTGTTTTCATTTTCAAATGCCCCAACAAATATTCTGCTTGCTATTTTGGTATTTTTGTGAATTTCTTTCCGCCTTCGGCGCATTGTTGTTACGACGACGACTGGCTTGCTAGTTTTCTAATTTTGCTTTAATGTGTACAATATAGTCTAGTCGCCTTCATTTTCTATAATTTTTCTTGTCGGAACCGGAAAAATAGCTGAAAACACAACGCAGAGGAAGTGAAAATGGCAAAAGATTTGGTCATTTTTTCATTGGTATCCGTATCACCTGACTATTTTTCACAATCCACCCCAATTCACCCCTTGGCATGGCCTTGAGGGTCCGTTATTTATAATTCCATTTGCTTGGGCCTAGCGAATAGCACTTCGTAGATCGGAACTGCATGCGTCTGAAGCCGTCTACAGTTTCAGTCGCTTGTCGAAGATTTTTGGCCACCTTAGCTTTGGATTTCGGGTACCGCTTGCACGACAAGTACTGTGGGCACTTCCGTAAAATCAAAAATCTGATTTTCAACTATAGCTCCCGTTTAGTTGGCAGGGCATAAAGCAAAAGCCTGGGGGCTTAAAGCTTAATCCCTTTTAAGCACAGCACAGCACATGGCATTGAAACCGAAAGTTGGCTTATCTGCACCACCGACGATGAAAGGTCTACCTACCCTATAGGGTGTATACACTAACAACACCAAATCAGTGTGTCTCACTTTAACAGGGGCTTATCGTATTCAAGTATTAAGAAATTCAAGAAATTCTTATTATTCTACATATTTCATATTCTACATATTTTATATTCTACATATTTCTGACTCCAGATTATATCCTTTTTTCTAACCCAAACGATTTAATGCAAAATTTTAGGTGCAAACAAAACTGATAAGACTAGAGTTTATGCCAGGAACTGCGAATGTATGTTATAATATTAAGCATAAAAGGGGTCTTGAATTATTTATTATTGAGGTTTATTATTATTGACTAATTTAATTATTGAGGTTTCGATTATTTACATTTTTTAAAATTAAAGATTTTTTAATAAAACAAACCTCAGCTATGCGTATCTCTGATTATAAGTTGTCGAAGCACTTTGTTTGTTAATAATAGTAATATCTATGAACTACAGGAAAATATTTGCATATAATTGGCCTAACGTTTAAAATAAAAAAGATTTAAAGGGTGTTTGCTAAAACTTTCATAAGATTTCACCTGATGTTTCTTGTTTACTCTGACAAGCAATGGAAACGAATGCAAGGTGGTCACGAGCGTCATGGGAGCGATTTGCGAGTCGCAATTAGAATGAGCGGGGCTCCGCCCCCAGGTCAGGTGGTCTGGTAGGGCATTAAGGGGTGGCGCCCATTATGCCCTTTCGCGATCAAGTCATAAAAAGCTCCAACAAGTGCCGTTTTGCGATGCACTGCTTGCAGGCTGTACAGTATGAGTCATCAAAGTTACTCTTCTAGCATTTCCGCCTAGCAATCAATGTCAATTAGTGCCAAATAAAAGTATTTAAAGACAAAATATTGCGTTAACCTTTTCTTACTTTGTAAATTACACAGTGTGAAGGAGCGTTTTTGCAATTCACTGAAATGTAAATGTTCCTTATCAGCAGAAGAGTCGATCTTGCTATGGGAGAGTATTTGTAATAACAATGCGCACTCAAGCACTATGATTCTTATACAAACATTTAGAAAATATTTCAATTGTTCAGCACATTTTGCAACTTAGCAGATTATGGTATGCAGTTAAACAGAGCACATTTTGCAACTTAGCAGATTATGGTATGCAGTTAAACAGAGATGATTTAAGGTTTTTATCTCGGACTTGTTTGTTTTAAAAATGTTAACACTCAAATACGAAAAAGAGAAACACGTACGGTTTTTTAGGTAAATTGATTAATGGCTACTTTAATAATAATAGCAAATATTTTTGTTGAAAACCCTATTTGTAAAAATACAAAATTGCAACTACTAGAAAATATTTAAACGAAAAATATTCAAATATAATTGATATTTTGTTGTGCATCCAAACGAATATTGACTGTTAAGCTCTGCCAAAAGAGAGATAATGTTAAAAATTGTTTGCAGGTATTTACATTAAAGCCTCATAATAAAACGCCACAAATGAAAATGAAACGAGTCAGACAGACACTCTGGCAAAACCAAAATAATGAGCTGTTAAACAACTTGGATGCCACAAATAATGAAATTGTGCCATAAAAGGGTCTGGAATGACTCAATATGACTCACTGCTAGAAACTGAGTGGCAACAGTGATTTCCTTTTGCCTCCAACCCCAACCGAATACCAGTGAGGTGGAAAGTTTTGCAGTTCCCGTTTAGCGCACCAAATTTAGCATCCACCCACGCAGCATCATATCACTCGCACCTCACATGAACACATGAACACACACCATGCACCGTATATTATCACCTGAAGTAACAATAAATAGTTGAGGTTGAGGTTGAGGTTGAGTGGTGTTTATTGGCTCTGCTGTTTGGATACTGGCTGTGATCTACGGCTGCAGTAGTGATATAAGTGATAAGGCGCAGCAATAATCGCCAATAACATTGCCATTATTGGCTAGCCGATGGACTATGCGCTCTTCTATTTTACTTAGTCGCTGCTTTCTGCAGCTGTTGTTGTTCTGTTTATTTATTTTGTATTTATTTTTTTTTGCAATGTGCCATTGTCTTATCAGTTTCTGTCCGGCCGGACTTTCATGTCACAACGATAATTACACTCGTTGCTTTTGTAGCCACTGCCGCAAACAATGTTTCTTATTGGTATTATTTTCGGTTATTCTGATAGTACGACAGCTGAATATTATCAGCAAGTCGGCGTGAGATTGTACCACATGCGTCCGCATGGTGGGCATTTGCCAACTTTTGCAGCGCTCAATTACGTCGTCGATTATAGCGATGAGTCAAGCTCGTGACGATCCAACTTATTTGACAGACTGAGGATCTGGAAACCTATCTTATTAAACATCCATCTCCCAGAGATAAAAACAACACCTAAAAAATGAGTTTTACATAATTTGTATATCTTTATAAAATTATCATTTGTTTTGCAATTTATAACACATCTTGTCCATTTTTGTTCTGTGATTCTTTTTCTTTTCAAACGTTTCATTTTACATCAATTTTTCCCAAAGATAAAAATTATAACACCTCAACATGAATTTAATATTTTAACGTTTAACGTTTTACATACTTTTAAATACCATTTTTTTTTGCCATTTTTGACATGTGTGGTCAAATATTAACAATGCAGTAGAGTTACTAATTTCGATTGAGATTAGATGTGTTTAAAAATACGTAAATAATATAGATTAATCGACTCTTAGCTTTCACGGTACTTCACATACTTTATTCTCTATGAATAAACTTATCTCAAAAAAAAAATGATTTTTCCCCGCGAGTAAGTTATTGATTTCATTCTGCCGAAGTTAGCTTGTTTGTTTGGTAAACTGTAGAATTGAACTAAACAAATTGTACCTTTATTAACTGGAATCAGTAAGGGTATCCGTTTTATAATTATTTTTTATTTATCATCAACACCAGGCAACTCGATATAGACGTGACGGGTCTGCCTGCTGACAAGCTAACTTTTTCTAGTATTAAAATTGTAATACATTGTAATCGGCATTAGAAAAAAGTTTGAAAAACCTTATAATACATATGAACATATTTATATGTAAACACATGTCTACATTGCCGAAATAACTGAAAATGCAACACATTTAGAAAGGAGCAACCTAGTTAAAAAATAGCACCTCAATTATTCGATAACTTCTATGGCAGCTATATGATATCGTTTTCCGATTTAAATAAAATTAAAATCGTAATTCTGAACTTTTAAATTATTAATAAATCAAAAAGAATTAAAAAAAATTACAAAATAGAAAAGTTACATTTAAAAAATATTTTTTTTAATATGTTTATTGTTTTCATGGCAGCTTTATGTTATAGTCGTTCAAGTTTGATGAAATTTAAACCGGAACGGACGGACAGACAGACGGACATGGCTAGATCGACTCTCCCAGTAATGCTGATAAAGAATATACATATATACCTTATAGGGTTGGAAATATCTCCTTCACTGCGTTGCAAATTTCTGACTGAAATTACAATACCCTTTGCAAGGGTATATAAACTTCTGTTTGGCTAAAGTTTTGCCAATGATGAACACTTTTTCACCAGAGGAACAAAACATTTAAAACAAAATTGGTCTAGCTCATCTAAAAATAAAGACAAAGCTAATATCGTTGAAGAAAATCTTCTTTAAATTCCCTTCCAAATTATTCACTTTTTTCATTCGAGTTTTTAAATATCAACCAAAATGCATCAGAATTATAAACGGGAACAGGTCTTGAGTTTCGGTTTTCCGGCGCTGATAAGAAAGTGCAGTTCAGATGGCAGATTACCGATCCCCGATCGAATTGCACCTAGCGAGATGCACGTCCCAAATGCGTGATCAATTAACCCAACCGTATTTGTTTATGCCGCTCTTGACCTTGGTCAGTCCATATGGACCAGTTTTAGGAAGCGGCTAGCTCTCCGATGAGTTCTCGGTGCTGTCCGATCGATTGCCTCCATAAGCTAATGACGCACATCTGAGCGATCGGTACATCTTACCCAATCGGAGGACCGGGAGTCTACAGAGTATAGAACAAGCACAATTGCACTTGGAAGCCTTGTGCGGGTAAACAAAACACGTGAGGTTCGAATTAAGTGGTAAGACTTATGAGGTGAACTTTGAATTCACAAGCCCGGCAATGACAATTCCGTCAGGAACCGCAACAACTGTGTGCAAATAATTTAACGTTCGTCTTTTGTTGTTGCAGCTGCAGCAGCGCATATTCACTGTCAATTCTCAGATACAGTCAAGCATCCCTAACACACGACACAAAACCAATTTGATTTTGAGAAGTCTTGACTTTAATAATAAAGTGTGTTTAAGTTTTCCAAATTTGCATAGCCACTTGTCTTTATAGTTTTAAGAGTTGTCTAGTTTTATCGAATTTTTTATGCAATTTTGGTTTACCTTTCTTACATTCTTACATGGTATGTAATTAATAAGGTTGACAAAAACTGGTTCGACTTAGGAGGATGTCGAGCTGGAGAAGTTTGACTGTAGTTGCGCAGTTAGGCAAATCATCGACTCACTTCTTTTTTCTGAATTGAAAACCAAGTCGTCGTCGGCGTTACAGTTACATTTCGTATTTCGTGCCCATTAGCGCCGGCGTCGACGACGCTTGGTTCTGCCCGCCGCCGACGCTCGGTGCTCGTTCTCAGAAAGCGGCACTAGTTTTTCAGATTTTCAGTGTTTGAGCGTTCAGCGCAGTGTCTGCTTCACCTTTTTAACTCGCTCTGTTCTGTTCCGTGGTAGCTGCTCCTCGACGGCTTCAGGTTTCCTCCGTCGCTTGGCTATCCAGGTAACAATTCCCACCAATGCCCGGTCGAACGCAACTCATAGACTCACTAATTATTGCTGTGACCATAAAGGCTTATCATTCCCTCTTGGATCTGTCCCGCTCGCACTCACAAACCATAACATCCATTGCCCGTGGGGTTCCAGTGGAACTCGTTTATTTGTTTATGTCCCCTCGGTTTGGGCCAATTCCGCGCTATCAAACATTGAACCAGCACCGTCTTTCGTCCATTGGTCAAATAAAATTGGTGAGGTGTGAAAACAAACATGGAATGTTGGCATGCCAAAATAGATTAACGCTCTTTCTAAAAACAAATGCTTTTAAAAAAGAAACCACCAACATCCTATAGCAATATTTAAAAGCTCAACCATAAAATCCCTAAAAAAAAAAACATTTCAAAACATATTTTAATATGATTTTTTCTGGATAATGTCTTTAAAATCATTTTAACAAAACTAATCTAAACAACTTGCGTATATTTTTATTAATTATTTTTAAAAACCCTAAAGCTAACGTTTTCGATTTTGTAAGCACCATTGTTAATATGTTTTCCTCCGCTATTAGTTTATATAGGATAAATCTGACTATTTTTAAATACCAAAATTTAATGTCAATACCTTTTAAAAAAAGGCTGCAATTAGAGAACTTTAAGGAAATATTTTTTAAAATCAATTATTGTATAGTTTCTCAAATTTTCGATTATTTTTATTTTAGAGTTTTCGAACATATTTGAATATAGATAAAATGGTTTGACTTTATTTTTCTTAATTATTCGCGCTTAACACTTTAAAGCCTTGTATTAACTAACTTTTAAGTATGTGATGAATATTTAAATTCGATTAAATTTAAGTGTTTTTATAAGTCATATTCCGGACTCTTTAGTAACCGTGTAACCGAAAGTATTTGAGGCTTTTAGTGTTTTTTCCTCCTAGCTGAAATAGTTGATAGCCACCACAAAGGCTTGTAATTTGTTTACACCTACAGAAATGTAAAATATTTTGTTTCAGTCGAATTTACAGTAACATGCTTTTAGGACAGTCGTTGAAAAAGCCTTTAAGAATTAACAAGTCATTGCTAATATTTTGTCCATAAGTGTGGGAATTGGGAATGTTTGCGTGTTGTCTTGTCGAGAGTGTTTAAAGACTGCCGGCTGTGAGATTGTTGGGCGATATAGACGCAGATCATCCTCTTTTTGTTTTCCTTTCCATACAGTGATTGTCTGTGGGGTTTCGAGACGGGATTGTCTGGTTTTCTGGAAAGGCGATAAAGACGGTGGCTGGCGCTTGTAATTTTTGCACTGTCTTTATCAATTTCACTGGTGTGGTGGTAATTTTCCATCGTTGATCCCTTGGTACTCGAATCGTTTTGGCTTGAAAGTTCCGACCTTAAGGCCCTAGTGTTTGGGGTTTAGTATAGTTGATAGTCTGGGGCAATAATCAGCAGCGGATCCCATATATAAATACTCGATACGACAAGTAGAGCCATAAATATTCCACTCGCTAATGAACATTTGAATTCCTTGTGCATGTGTGCCTGTGTATCTGTGTGTTTGTCTTATTCAAGAGACTTCTGTTTTGCTTTGTTTTCTGTTCCCCTTTTTTTTTTTTTGCAGATCATCAGATCGCAGATACTAAGTAACCGGGAATTTCGACAATTCCAGGTTGTGCCGCCACATCCACATTCAGCTGAGCTGACAACCCTGGTCATCAGCAAAAAAAAACTATCGATAACACAGAGAGTGTGGAGAAGTCGGTTTGATTCGTCAGCTGTTTTCACTAGTTTCATTTTGTTCCGTTTCGTTTCGTTTTGTTTTTAGTGTGTGCTTCGTTTTCGTTTATTATTTGTGCTAATTCCGCTCTCCATTTGCTCTCTCTCTGCTCTCTTTCGTTTCGCCCACGCAGCACGCACGTTTTGTGTCTCTGTTTTAGTCTCAGTCTCAGTCTCAGTTTCACTTTCATTTGTCGTTCGATCGCCAAGTGCAAAGAAGTCAAATATTAGCCATCCCCAGTTCGCATACATACGTATATACAAAACACATATTTGTATCTACCCACATATGTACCACATATATTTGCGCGTATAGAGATGATTGGCGTTATTTCGTAGGTAATTCTCGATATCTCCTTGGCCTTGACTTGGTTCTACTACCCCCATCCCCCCATCACCCCATCCCCCTCATCAGTCCACACAAATATACAATATCAAGTTGATTAACAGATTGTTGGATTGCATCCCCCGGCAGCGACACATATTTCATCCGCATCTCCATAATCATCCCATTTGACAATTAAACCCAGTACAACAGCACATTTATGTTAAAAATACTCGACTAATTTCATGTCTCGCGACGCCACAACAACAACTACAACAACAAACAGCAGCAGCATCATCATCAGCAGCTACAGCTACAGCAGCAACAGCTACAGCTACAGCTACAACAACAGCAGCAGCAGCACCGACAACAGCAGATCAACCCGAAAAACCTGAGGAAGAAGGAAAAGGAGCTCATCCACATCCAGAACTGACGGAAACAAACTCCAACCAAAAGATACTTTTAGCTAGCAAAAGTAGTAGTTCAAACGACCAGAATCACAACCAAATCGACGACGACGAGGATAAAGTAGGAACATTGCCATTACCACCCCTGCCCTCCATCAACAAAAGGACACCCAACGCCCAACTGCTCCACCCTCGTCCAATAATCCGCTCCATCCCGTCCTACACAGACGACCTGTGCACCTGCTGCAATTGTGCATACTCCAGTAACTCCAGTAACAGTTCCTCATCCGACTCGTCCACATCCTCATCCTCATCAGCGACTGCACTTGCAGCCGCAGCCGCAGTCGCATCCGCATCCGCCGTTGCCAAGCAGCTCGCCCGCTCCGTGACCGCCACCAGCATCATGGACATGCCGTACAACACCTCGCCGTCACTGCGGGTGCGCACCACCTCGCTGAATCAGCTGAAGAAGACCGCCGACCTGGCCATTGAGAACGAGTTGCACGTGTGCCCGTCGGTGATGTCCGAGGAGCTGCGCAAGCTGCTGCCCCCCACCTCGGAGACGGTGATGACCAAGCCGTTCCCCATCCGCGGCGAACGGACCATTGCCGACTGCACCACGCCCCATGTGATAGCCATGGTGGGTCTGCCGGCTCGCGGCAAGACCTTCATTTCCAAGAAGCTGGCGCGCTATCTCAATTGGATTGGGATCTCCACACGAGTATTCAATCTGGGCGAGTACCGGCGACATGCGACCACCGCCTACAAGTCGCACGAGTTCTTTCGCGCCGACAATGAGGAGGCGATGGCCATCCGCAATCGGTGTGCCAACCAGGCGCTGCACGACTCCTGCGACTGGCTGCTGAGCGGCCAGGGGAGCATCGCCGTTTTCGATGCCACCAACTCGACGCGCGATCGTCGCCAGCTGATCCATGACATTGTGGTGAAGCAGCACGGCTTTCGGCTGTTCTTCGTGGAGTCGATCTGCGATGATCCGCAGATCATTGAGCAGAACATCCTGGAGGTCAAGGTCAGCTCACCCGATTACCTCAACATGAACACGGAGCTGGTGGTGCGGGATTTCTTGCAGCGCATCGAGCACTACGAGGAGCGCTACCAGCCCATCGACGAGGTCACCGAGGCCCACCTCAGCTTCATGAAGGTCTACAATGCCGGCAAGAAGGTGGTCGTCTACAACAACGAGGGCCACGTGGAGTCGCGCATCGTCTACTACCTGATGAACATTCACATAACGCCGCGCACCATCTACCTGACGCGTCACGGCGAGAGCGAGTACAACCTGACCGGGCTGATCGGTGGCGACTCGAATTTGAGTGCCCGCGGTCATCAGTACGCCAACGCCCTGTCCACGTTCATTGCCCATCAGCAGATCGACGGACTGCGGGTGTGGACGTCGTGGATGAAGCGCGCCATTCAGACGGTGGCCGATGTCAAGGCGCCGCAGGAGCGCTGGAAGGCTCTCAACGAGATCGATGCCGGCCACTGCGAGGAGATGACCTACGAGCAGATCAAGGAGCGCTTCCCCGAGGAGTTCAAGGCGCGCGACGTGAACAAGTTCGCCTATCGCTATCCGCGCGGCGAGAGCTACGAGGATCTGGTGGCCAGACTGGAGCCGGTCATCATGGAGCTGGAGCGACAGGGCAACGTGCTGGTCGTGTCGCACCAGGCGGTGCTGCGCTGCCTCTTTGCCTACTTCCTGGACAAGTCCGCCGACGAGCTGCCCTACCTGTATGTGCCGCTGCACACGGTCATCAAGCTGACGCCGGTGGCCTACGGCTGCAAGGTGGAGCACATCAAGCTGGCCATCGATGCGGTGGACACGCACCGGCCCAAGCCCAAGATCCCCGGCGACGTCAGCCAGCCGGGAATGGATGGCCTCAGCGGCGAGCTGGTGGCACCCGATGGCGTCGGCAAGGTGCTCATTGTGGGCGACGATGTGGCGACGGCCACGAACGGCAATGGCGGTCGCGTCGATATCAAGGCGCATCAATGACGGCGTCGCCTGAACCACCACCACCAACACCACCACCTCCACCACCCCGCCCATCCACAACCTCCTTCGATATCAAAATCAAAATCCAAGACAATCTAAGCACGGCTGCTGGATCGGCTGCCCCCAAAAAATACAACACAATCCAACCCAACCCAACCCAATCCAACCCCAGCTCCAGCACCAATTCTTTCCCCTGTCGCATCCCGAACAGCCCAACGGATACGGACAAAGATACGGACTTGCGTCGAGGATGTGGTGGCGCTCCTACTTAATGTGGCAATCGGAGGCCTGCGAGTTCCACTTTGGACTGCGTATGAAATTGTGATTGATCCATTGTGCTGTTTTATTATGTACTTTAACGAACAATTAAATATTTTAAAATTTTTCTAGAACATCTATATTGATACAAAACAAAAACAAAAATCGAAACAAAAAAAAAAAACAAAATACGGACTTAAACACCTAGAATTACATATTAAATGTATGCTTCAGCAAAGGGAGAGTACTTACTTAGTTGGGTCTGACAACTTACTTGTTGAGTGTTTCCGGCCACTACCAGGAGAATAATGCTATCATTGTATACCCAAACGTGTTTTTATCCGCATCGTTGTCTATTTTTATACCAGTTTTGCGCAAATTATGTTTTAAAACGAAGGATAAACCCACGGATTCCATTTGTCGACTTTGTTTATTAGAAACCGCTGGCCCGATACACTTTTTAAAAGCCTATCTGTTTTCTCGTAAATGTATGTGTGGAACAAAACATTGTAATTACATGAATACTTTAAATACTTAATCAACAATAAATAAATAACATATAATTGAAATAACCCATCCAAAAACACAAATTGTTTCATTTTCGTTCAGATTGATATTATACTTAAATGAACGAAAGTAATGCGAAGGTACTTAAATTTACATACACATATCGTGGGACAATTGTCTTGCTCAAAAATCTCTTGAGTTGGTCCTTAACGATGCATCAATAGCCTAGGATAATGTATACAGATATCAAAAGAATTTTAGGAGAACGTTTTAGATTCTTTTTTTTCACATCTTTACAACTATACCATAAAGATACATTAAGACTTGCATTCCTTTTTTGTTTTTGAATACAAGATATAACATATTTTATTTTGAAGCTATTAAGCAAACAGTCCAATTTCTCAAGGTCATGTTATACAGTTCTAGTTTGTAAGAAAAAGATAACCATTATCGTTTTGTAGAATGACATATTTTAACCAGTACACTTTCTCTAATTTTCACTGAAGCAGCAATTTAACATAATGTCATAAACTTAACATGGCATTGAGATTGTATTGTTAATATATTTAAACCAAGTTTGAAGATTGATATAAACTAAAAATTGAATTTTGAAATTTTTGTATTAGGTGGCAATAAATTTTGAATTGGACGCTGTCAAAATATAGGAGGAGTATTGACTGTAATAGATTCATTAATGATGCATCGGTGACGAAGATAATTGTGCACTAGCTTAAATAAAATAAGATTGGAGATGAGATTGCGCCAAGCAAACAATTTTCTCGATAAATTATTCATTTTGTTTTCGATTGGCTTTCAGCTGCCGGGAAGTGTTTTGGGATGCGTCCTCGTCCATGTCTGCTAGGACCACACTTGTCACCGAGCGGCCGAACAAAAGGTGCTCCACGGCCAAAGGGTCACGCGAGTGACCACAAAGAACCATCCAAGAGACATCGAAGGTCCGGGACGCCTCCAATATAGTCATAATGCTGCGTCTTCGCAACCAGGAGCCTAGCCCGTCGCATTACAGTGATGGCGACGTGGTCTGGGTGAAATTACACAACACAGAGATCTGGTGGCCCGGCGAGGTGACCTTGTCACAGGACTTCCGGTTCGTCGACTGCAGCCGTCCACCGTTCGCAGTTGTGGCGTTTTTCAACGAGAAAACCTTGTAAGTATCTATACTCCTAAATTGCAATTGAAAGCAGAATTCGTGTTTGTAACATAATTTAACGACATTTGTTCATTCACAGCGAGCAAGTCAAATCACCGAAACAGATTTACCCCTTTCAATGTGCTCAAAAAGAGGAGTTAATCAAACGCGGCACCAGTAAGTACAGGCTGCATAATATACCTACAGATGCGGTCAAAATAATAGTAGTTTTTTTTTCTAGCTTATAGAAATATTAATTATAAACAGTACAACATTATTATATTTTCGTGAAGCTTATAAACTAATGGGGAAAATATAAACATCTATATTTATTCAAAATAAATATTAAAACATTTTTTTCCAATACTAAGTGCAGATAAACGACGATTTTGGTTATAAAATCATTCAATACAGTATACCGAAAATTGAAATTAAAACTAAAACATCGAAGATTTTACATTTTCCCATTACTATTATTTTGACCGCAGCCAATATCATATAAAAGCGATATTTTAGCACAAGTTTACATTTAATAGTTGATTGGGGTATACAAATTTAAAAAACAAAAAAAGAAAGGTTTACTTTTTTATAAATTCCATGGTTTAAAACCAGTTTATATTGTTTAACTAAATCTATTTAAATTGTTTGATTTAATGATAAAGCTAACAATGTTGGTTACATTTACTTTTTTAACATAATTATTTTTTTTTTTTTTTTGACATTTCTGCTATCATACCATGTTGTGTTTCAACCTATTATAACGAAATATAAGCACCTTGGAATGGGTATTTTAAGTACATCATTACGTATTGATCAAGAATGCCATCCATCATCCATCCACTTCTTCCATTCCAGAAAAGGCTGATGGAATGCACATGGGCGACAAGTTCAGAGATGATGTGGCGATCGCCGAGTCGCGCTACCACCGGCAGCAGCTCTCCTCCGGATTGCACGCGACGCCTTTGTCCATGCTGGAGGGCAGCAGTAACTGCAACATCATCAGCAACAGCATCAGCAACAGCATCAGCAACAGTAACAACAATAGCAACCGGCCGGATAGCCTCATCAAGGCCCTCCTCTCGAGCGGCAGCAGCAGCAGTCTGCACAACAGCAGTGCGTCAAGCAGTGCAGTGCCTTCGCCGGCGGGTCGAGTAAGTAGCTCGTCGATGGCATCGCCCCAAGCCGTTGATGATAATGCCGTATTCCGACAGAAGGAGCCCACGATTCGCATCATGGACATTGGAGGCGGTGGCGCAGCGATCGCACCGCGTGGCCGTGGCCTCAACGAGGCCAGCTACGAGTGCAACATGTGCAGCTTTCGCACCAACAGCATGAGTGTGCTGCTCATCCACCGCCGCGCCCACTTGGAGCCCAGCAGCAGCTTCAGCAGCTTTAGCAGCAACAGCAACAGTACCATCGACACCAACACCAACACCAATATTGTTCGAAAGACGCGGGCAGCGCGACGAGCTCACACCACCAACATGCTGGATCTGCGGCATCTGGCGGGTCGCCGGAGTCGCGACAGCACGCACTTCGACAAGAACTCGGTGCGCTGTCACTCGCGTCACGTGTCCATCGTGGTGGACGCCTCGCTGACGGACGAGGAGCAGCAGAGGGTGGCTAGCATTGCCAAGCTGACGATGGAGACCATTGAGCGCGTGGTGCATCCCGGTGACACCAGTCCCTCCTCCGCCTCCGCCTCTGCCTCTGCCTCGGCGTCCTCGTCGCCGGAGATCATCGCCGTGTCGGAGAGTTCACGACGCAGCCTTGTACATCCACGGGATCCGCGCAGCCAGCGCTCCAATCAACTGCGAGCCACCATGCCCGCCCCAGAGTCGCCGCCGGCCAAACAGCGCCGCCTAACGCGCTCCATGAGTCGCCGTCAGAGGGGCGCCTCGCCTGAAGGCAGCTCGCCGGAGCTGCTGCCGCCCCCGACTCCACGCCGCCGTGCAGCTAGACGGTGCACACTGGCTGCCGCCACCGCCACCACCAGCAGCGAGCAGGTCACACCGCCAAGGCGTGGCAATCCCTTAAGGAAAACGCTGACGACACCGCCCACCAGTGTGGAGAAATCATCTCGAAGCGCAGGATGGCGAAAGCGAGCGCTCTCTAGGAACAGGGCGCCGATCGCTGGTGGTGATCTGCATCCTTCGCTGCCTTCGCCTTCGCCATCGCCACCGCCACCGCCTTCGCCGCCAGTGCGGCCACTTCCACCCAAAGTGATTGCCGAGCCAGAGCTACCAGCCAGAGCTGGATCCGGTCCATCGCACGAGCCGCTGCCACCGCCGCCTGCTGTCGACCCACAATCGAAAGTGAATCTCCCGCATCCGCAGAACAGTTCGGCCGCCTCCTTGCAGCTGCATCTCAGTCTGCTGGCCGAGTGGTGCGACGACGAGATGGACGAATCGCTGGATGAGCCACCACAGTCGCAGCCACAGTCGCAGTCACAGTCGCAGTCACAGACACAGACGGTGGATAAAGCTGGCAAGGCAGTGGTCGAACAGCCAGCGACGACAGCAACACCAGGGCAGCAAGTGGAGGTGGAGGAGGAGGAGAATCGCGAACGGGAACAGGAACAGGAGAAGACTGACGGCGTGGCTGCCAAGAAGCGCATACGCAACATACCAAAGAAGGATCGGCGCGACGTGGTTCTGCAGGAGTTCGACGTGGACAGCCAGCTGGAGGAGGTTGACGAGCCGATTGTCATCCAGGACAGCGATGCCAGCTCGAACGAGAGCGTTGTGTTCGTGGAGGACGAGCCAAGGCAGCGTGCAAAAGGTGCCACCACTCATTCGCAGCCCAATGGCAATGGTAAAGGTAATGGCAATGGCAATGGCAATGAGAAGGCCAAAACCGCGGCCAAGGTGGCCATACCTTCTTGCTTTGATTTCGAAGAGGACGAGGATCTGCAGCAACAGCAGCAGCTGGAGGGCCAAAATGGACTAAGCTATAGGCGTCGCACCAATACCAATCGCACCGATGCCAATGATGCCAATGGCAAGGGCCATTCGGAGGAGGAGGAGGAGGAGGTGCAGCAGCAAGAAGAGGAGACGGAAGAGGAGGCGGAAGAGGAGACGGAAGAGGAGACGGAAGACGAGACGGAGGAGGAGACGGAAGAGGAGACGGAAGAGGAAGAGCCTGCGCAGGGCAACATTTCCTTCGACGAACTGTTCTTTGGCTTCGAAGACGTCCCGGAGTCGTCGCCAAATGCGGTCGTGGCGGTGGAAACGGAGCCCCAAGCAGAGGCAGAGCCTCAGCCACCTGTAGACCAGGTGGAGCACGAGATGGTGGATGCCGTAGAGCCCGCAGCAGCAACAGCAACAGCAGCAGCAACAACAGCAGCAGCAACAACAGCAGCAGCAGAGACCGAAGCCGAGCCGGGTGATCATTTGAGTCTGCCCATCAAAGAGCGACAAAAGCGCATATTTAAGTCGCGGAACAAGTCGACGATGGCAGCAGGTGGACAGGAAGAGGACATAATGCCAGCCGTGTTGACCAGCGACGACGAGGTGGTGGAGGTGCCGGAGGCTGCGGCCACAGCTCCTCTCCAGCAGGACACTGTAAACTGTGCCAGCCTGCATCTTATCAATGGGCAGAAGAGCGCGATGAACAGCCATACGAACAGCAGCGAGGGCGTCATGGAAAGCAAGGAGAGCAGCCGGAGCAGCAAGCGGCGCACCACATCAAAGACTGAATCCTCCCGTCGACCGCAGCGACGCTCGATGGCGCGTCCACCGAGTCACTCGCCTGCCCACGATGAGCTGAGCGACAACAGCAGCAACAGCAGCGGCAGCGGCAGCAGTAACAGCAACACCAGCAGCCAAAGCAATGGCAACCACATGTCCAGCGGCAGCTCTAGCTCGGATTCGCACGGCATTGGAACGCTGTCACCGGAGCCCAGCTCCAGCAACAGCTGCTCCATAGCCTCCAACATTGCGGTGATCTCGGCAGAGGAGGCGCGCGAGCTGCAGCGATCCGCCTCGGGCGCCGGCCTCATCCACGCGGCCATCGTGGATGCCACCCAGCCGGTGCAGCGTGGAGGTGTGCTCATTCTGGAGGACATTCGGCTGCCCAACTTGTACGAGCCCTTCGGCGGCAGCCTGCACTCGTCGGACAGCAATGGCAGTCGCAGTCGCAGTCGCCAGCCGAACTCCTCGCGGCCGCACGACGAGGACGACGAACAGTCGCAGGATACGGAGCAGGATACGGAGCAGCAGGCAACGAATCAAGTTCAGGTGGCGCAGGAGGAGGAGGAGGAGGAGATGGAGGAGGCAGAAGCTGGAGCGGAATGTCGGGATGAAGAGAAGCATCTGCTCGATGATAAGCAAGTAGCTGAGCAGTTACAGGAACAACAGAAGGAACAGGAGCAACCGGAGCAACCGGAAAAGGAAGAGGAACAGAATCAGGACAAGAAGACGGAGCCCACCGCATATATGGACTTGACCAACTGTTCCCCGGCTCGGCACTCGCCGGAGGCGGTTCGCTCCCTGCCGCAGCCCCGTGAGGTGCTCCTCAAGAAGCGCGAGCAGGAGCTGCTGCGCCAGTACGAAGCCGACCTGGTCAGCGGGCGGACTGCGGAGAAGTGTCGCCTGGTCCGAGCGCGCTGGAGCCGGCCAATGCCATCCGTCGAGGAAGAGGACCATCCAGAGGAGCTCGGCCAGGGCGAGAAGACGACTGCGGCAAACGACGACGAGGATCTCCAGCTGGATATCCAACCAATGGAGACCGATTCCCCGGTGGACCAGGAGCTGGCAGCCGTTGAGTTGGCCCTACCAGGTGCCACGTTGGCTCCGTCAGCGCGCCGCGCCAACAGCTACCCGCCGCTCAGTTCCATGGTCATGAGCACGAACACGTACAAGCCCAGGCACTTCAGCTGCGCACCCGCTCTCAACTATGTGGACGTGGCCAAGGCCCACCGGCAGCTGGTGGATCTGCGCGGGCACCAGCGTCTGCGCTGCACCCCAATCCCAGTCCCAAACCCAGTCTCAAACCCAGCACCAAACACAATCCCAAGTGCCACAACGCCACCCACATCCACAGTCAGCAATCCGCCGACCACGCTGCTGCAGGCCGCCAACGTTGGTGGCCAACGGAGACAGCGTCGCCGCTCGAGGAACGCCGCCAGTGGAAGTGACCATTTGGACAGAGAACGGGAAAGGGAAAGGGACAGAGAGAGGGATAGGGACAGGGAGAGGGAGAGGGAGAAAGAGAGGGAGATGGAGATGGAGTGCGGCTCCCGCAGCGACGTCGCCGAGGAATCGTCGTGCGAGACCACCAAGGATGGCCAGGAGAGCCCCGATAACGTAAGTTGACCAAGAAAGGAAAAGGCAGATGTGTTTAATATACCTATGTACAGCTGAGGTCAAAATAATAGTAGTGGGACAAGGTGAAATGCCCAAAAAATAGAACAATTTCTTTTTTGTCAATAAACAAAGTTTTGATGGTTTAGTTTTTAAAGGAAATAAAATAATTCCTTTAAATGCACATTTAAATATACTATAGCAAATGATTTTATTATTATTATTTTTGAACTAATATATCTTATATATCTTTTTTATATCTTAGATACTTTTTAAATTAAAAATGTGCAAACATTAATTTTATTATACAAAATTTTAAAAATATCTAATTTTTTTTATTAGTTTCATGTGGTATTAACTTCACGACAAGATAAAAAAAGACAATCTTTTTTAAAAGCTATGTCCATTAGCTAAAAAAATAATATTATTTTTACGGCTACTGCATGTTCTTTATTTAATTAAGTGTTTACTTTTTCTATAAACTCAATTTCAATTTCATTATCAACTGAATATAATTGGTTGCGCCTTCCCAGCCCCATTTTCTTTTCTTAATGCCAATTTAACCCTTTGGGTATGTTTTTAAATACTGATTTGATATTTCTGTATACCACATAATTATTAGAACAGGCTTTTGCCTGTTTGGCAGCATAACAAATCATATACAGCTGCGGTCAAAATAATATTATTTTTTAGCTTATGGAAAGGGAAAATGGAAATAGTTTTTTTTTTTTTTCAAGAGGTTAATACTATTAATATAACCGCATTTCATATATTAATCTTTATTTTATTTATTTATTTATTTTATTATTATTAAACAATAATACATTTTGTTTTATGTTGTCATTTGCTATGAATTAAATGAAATGTTGTTCCACTTCTATTATGTTGACCAGAACTGTATGTATTTTTTATAAAAGTCTAAATCGTGAATAACAATACAAATTCGTTTGAAAACTCACAGCAGTAAAATTTTCTGCAACCAAAATATTCAAAATTTTATTTCGATATGATAGTTTTTACTTTTTAATTATATGAACATTGCAATATTGCTTTTAATGTAAAAGTCAACAAAACTTGAGAACTTAATTTGTATTAGCTGTTTACTTTTAATTATAATGCACAAAACCCTTTTAACGTTAAACACCATTTCCACTGCCCGCTCTTGTGTTTCAGCCGCCTCAACTGTGCGCTGGCCGCATCTGCGCCGTGACGACTCGCCCGATCCCGGGCTACAGCCACACGTTCATGCTCTGTTCGCTGAACAACAACAACTTCACGCCGCTGAACAACGTGGCCCTGTACCTGGACAACGAGAAGAACCACCTGGTGCCGGTGCCGCGGGAGGCACTGCTGGAGCCGCCGCGCCTGGCCGACGGCCATCCACTGTCGGCCGTCTTCGCGGACATTGACTTTCTGGGCGGAGAGGCGGTTGCCCAGGTGATGGAGCCATCGGAAACGGATATGGAGGTGGATGGCGATGGCGTTGGGGAGGATCTCAACCAGGATCCGGATCAGGATCAGGATCATGATCAGGTCGGGCGGCATTTGTCTCCCCAAATTCCGCTTAGCGAGGCAGAGAACGACGACGGCGACGCGGTGCCAATGGACACGATGGACACGATGGGCATTATGACGCCACTCAGCCAGGTGGCCGAGGGAAGCGCCCTGGCTGCCGGCAGCTATGTGAACGAGGAGGAGGAACTGTCCCTGCACGAGGAGCAGCTGCAGGCCAATGTGCTGCAGCTGAACGTGAACGGGCACCGCTTGGAGCTGGATCCCTCGGTGCTGTTCAGCATTGCCGAGCAGCCGGACTCGTGCATCGAACTGAATGTCACCGACGCGGGCGGAGGATCCAGTGGCTCCGGTCTCGCCGGCAGCATGCGGGCCGTGCTCCACGCTCGCGACATTCTGCAGGCGGCGCAGGTTTACTTGCAGGAGCGCGACCTGCAGCTGGTCAACGTGGAGGATATGACGCTCGACGATGAGGACACGGATGCGCCGGCTGGCTCTCACGTTCACGGCCACGCCACTGATCTGCTCTCGCAGGCGCTGGCCGGTGCTGCCGACTCCGACGACTATGTGACCGCAGCAGCCAACGCTGGCGTTGGTCTGCTCCACATCGACACCCGCACGGGTGCCAGCCTGCTGCATGTCGGCGACGATGACGATGACGATGACGACGTCGACGGACCCGGCAGTGTGGTGTTCATCTCGAACTCACTGCCACCACCGCCGCAGACCGTCCACCTTACGCCTCCGATCACGGCGCGCACCAACGAGACGAACGCGCTGCTCGACCAGACGCCCATCATGTCGACGCTGGAGAATCCGAGCGGCATGCTGTTCCGCCGCGTTTCACCGGACGTCGATGGCAACCTGGAGGACAGCCTGGCCTCCGTCATTGGCGTGACGAACGGCAGCGGCGTGCCCACCTCGCTGGAGCTGCCCATCACGGTCACCAATCCGGCGATCGCCTCGCGGATGGCGGCCCCTGTCGCCGACATCCTGCAGTTCGCTCCCTTCCAGTAGATGTGTGGGTGTGGATGTCGGTTTGGGTGTGCGTAGAGGGACACAAGGCACAGTCCATCCAGGCGAACGTTTTTGATTTGCCTTTGTAGATGCAGATGCAGATGCAGATGCATTTGAAATTTCACATTTGTGTGTATTTTTTTTTTTTTTGTGCGCCGAAGAGAGTGTACCTCTTGTTAGTTAAATTAACACGAAATTAGAATTTAGAAGAGACGACGACATTGCGCCAATGAATGCCAATGCAGATATGTAGTTGCCTAATCGACTAGCACCTAAGTGTGGGATTCACATTGACTTACATTGCAAATGTAGGATCGGGAAAGGAAAGGAGTCCCATTAGCACGTAAGAGATTTAAACAACTATTGGATAGATATAGAACAGATCAGACCACACCAGACAAAGCTGAACAAAAAGTCAACGACGAGGATGTAGCGTGTGATCGTGTGATCGATGCCCGGCACCCGGCACCAAAGCAAAAACATACGACACGTAACAGAACATAGAAAACAGAACATGCAACACTGCATATAGGACTATATAGGAGTAGGACTTAAAGTACACGCATGTGAACAGGATGCACATTTATATTTAACGACACTAAATGACTATACCAATGTGTGTAAGATATGTCAGTCTCTAAGCTAACAAACAACTTCTGTAAAGTGTGCCCTGAATAAAGGGCAGATCGAAGCTGCCCAGCTTGGGCAACTATTAAAATAAAGGCAACCCCACGTGCTACAAAAGTCTGTTTTTTTATTGCGACATGGATCAAGCGAACAGAATGAAAAATTTGTGCCTTAATCTATTAAAGGGACTTAAGGATCTTCTGGTTTAGAAGCCTGAATTTTGGGGCATTTTTCAAATGAGATTAAAAAAATGAAAAACATTTTTAATATACCATTTTGAATGTTTTTTATTGACATTTTGAGAATATAAAAAAAGAAACTAGAAAAAAAAACAAAATTCGACGATACAGGCCGGTGGAGTGGGGTGTTCAAAAAAACTCTGCGTCCTGTTTGGCATGATTTAACACTTGTAAAGATCGGAAAAAAAATTTAAAAAAATCGTCACTAGTAAAGATGCCGCTATCGCGTTGACCACCTTCCAAAAAAAAAATAAAAAAAAGTGGCGTCGACTTGAAAACAGAAAATGTTTTTCAGCTAATTTTGTCGAGCTTTCCGAATAACACTAATGTCAAAAATTTTTAAATCCAAGACAAACGCAAACAAGATATATACAAAATTATTTACCATGTTTACCATGTTCCAATGTTGAGTTGCGAATTTTAATAGGTGTTCAAATGTGTTCTGGTTTTCCACTTAAAAAGAGGAATTTAATATATGTACTATAAAAAGACTATAGTTTTGGAGCTTACTTCATATTGACCATAGGTTTGTAACACATCTGTTTCTCCACAGGCAGCAAGTGCCACGCTATACATATAAGTCGGAACAAGCCGGATCGGACTACCATAACATATTGCTCCCATAGGAACAATCGAACAAAAATATAAATTTGCTGTTTTTTAATTTTTTTTGTGTTCTTCGAGACGGTAATGGTTTATTATTTCAAAATTACGGTTTAAATTTGGTTTAAATTGTGCAACTATATCATATAGCTCCCATGGGATTAATCGGAATATTACAAAAAATAGATGTAAACAAAATTTTGTAAGATCTTTTTCACTTATTGCTTTATTCGATAATTCAGAATTACGCCATAAGAACGATCGAAACATTTAACTGAAAATCATTTAAACACTTACGCATATAAATCGAAATTTATATGCTTTACGGAAAATTTAATTTTTGCAAAAATTTTCTTGTTAAAAATGAGAAAGATGAGAGCTGGAGTAGTTTTGATATTAAAATGGAAAAATTGTTTCTACTTTTCGTTTTACGATTTCAAAAATTGTTTACTTATTAGCACATTACGATTGTTATCAGAGATATTCCACAAGTGAACAAAAACATTAAAATTATTTTAATTTTGTGGTTAGCTAACAAACTAAATTGGAATCCCAGTAAAGTAAATAATTGGTATCGGCGTTTAGTTTGGTTTCCTTTATTGAGTTTTAACAATTGCATGATGATTTTGCATTACATTTCGCTTAATTATTAATAACAATTGCTTTTAATTTCATAGCATTTGTGTATTTCTCTCTTGGTTTGAATAAGTTTACTTTATGTTTTGTTTAGAATAAAATTATTGTAACCGTTTACACTCAACTTTCAACTAGTCTGGCTTCTATTTCACACGTTTTGCCTCCAATTTGACAAAATGTTTGCCTTTTATAAGTGGGTCGTCGGCTGCACGCTGCACACGGAGCTCACTTAACTCAAAAGACTAAACAAATTAGAAAATTAATAATCAATAAATAATTAAGATTATCTCTTTGCATACGAATTATATAAACAATAATAACTCAAGGGTTTTGGCTGGATGGCGACAAAAATACTCTACTACCGCAAGTAAAATTGGCAATTTAACAAATTTTAACGCTTGCAAGAGTGTCCTAAGCAAATTAAATAATATACCTAGGTATTCGAACATAAAAATACTTTAGGTAGTGCTCTCTTTATAACATTTTTGTTTTTCTTTCGGGCGGGTTAAAATTTTAAATGGTTAAACGTAAGAAACTTTCGGCAAAGTTTAGTGAGTGTGTGGTGTGGTTGTTTTGCTGCTATATATTTTTTGGTTTGGGGCGAGTGTTTAATTGCTGTCCTTCATACTGCATCTGCATCATCTTCGCTCTGCACAATATTCCTGGCTGTTTTCTCTGCTCTCTGTGTTTATCGGTTCTTGGTTGTTGTTGTTGCTGGCGTTCCTTGCCACAGCTTGATCTTGATGCGGTTGATTCGTGAAAGTCGTCTACAGCTTGGCGCAGATCTCGTTTGTGAACTCGGAGCACTTGGCACGGCCGCCGAGATCGCCGGTGAGGTACTTGCTCTCCTTGATGGTTTCGAAGGCGGCCCGCTCGATTTTGTCGGCGTGAGTGTTAAGCTTCATGTGGCGCAGCATCATGACTGCCGACAGCAGCAGGGCAGTGGGATTGGCCAGGTCCTTGCCGGCAATGTCGGGTGCGGTTCCGTGCACGGACTCGAACAGGGCACCGTTCAAACCCATGTTGCCGGAGGGCGTCAGACCCAAGCCGCCCACCAGACCGGCACACATGTCGGACAGAATATCACCGTACAGATTGGGCATGACCAGCACATCGTACTTGCCGGGGTTCTGCACCATGTTCAGGCACACCGTGTCCAGGTACTTCTCCTCAAACTGGATTTCCGGGAACTTCTGGGCCATGTCGCGTACGCAGCGCAGGAAGAGACCGTCGGACATGCGCCTGAAAAGCGGGTAAGTAAGTGGGTTGAAGGTGAGTGACCAGTGACCATTGACCAACTTACATAATGTTCGCCTTGTGGACCACGGTAACCTTCTTGCGGTTGTTGTTCTTCGCATACTGGAAGGCGTACTCGGCCACACGCTTGGAGGCCTCCTCGGTGATCAGCTTGATGCTCTGGACGACGCCATCGACGATCTCGTGCTCGATGCCGGAGTACTCACCCTCGGTGTTCTCGCGGATGGTGACCACGTCGACGTCGTCGTACAGCGTCTTGTAGCCCTCGAGGCTGCGGCAGGGACGCACGTTGGCGTACAGGTTGAACTCCTTGCGCAGGGCCAAGTTCAGCGAGCGATGGCCCTTGCCCACGGGCGTCATCAGGGGTCCCTTCAAGCCGATCTTATTCGTGTTCACCGAGTCGATGGCGGCCTGCGGGATGCCGAACTTTCCATCGGCTCCCTGATTTTGATTTCGTACCACACAAATGGGAAAGATAGGTACAATTAATGAGGGATTATAATCAGGTGTGGTATCGAAAACTTCCAATTATGATTAATTTTCCCTATTTTTTTATTTTACATAAATCTTGGTGTTGTTTTCCATATCCTATCCTATCCTCTATATTAATGTACCTTAATTTTAAAATTAATTTTAAAATTCTATATCCTAGCCTTTCCTACATTCATTTACAGAAATATTAGGCCAGTGAATAACCTATGCTTTGTATTTTCTTTGTTCATAAGGAAGTAGTCGCATTAGTCGGTTTAAAATGTTTCATTGTATTATTTTTAATTAATAAAAAAATATATTTTAAGTACGACGAGATTTTGAAGTCTTTAACATAGCAAAAGGTATAAACAAATAATAATAATAATATCTTAACGATATCATTAACGGATCATTTTCAATACACCTATTGTAGGAACTAACAAAAATACAAATATACATTTTTAAAAATGCTGAGATGCAAGCTTGTGGCATTTCAAATTTTAATCTCTATATGTATTATATACAATACACAGGTAAAATGGAATGTTAGTCATTGTTATCGCAAAAAGAATAAACAAACAAAAAGTTGTGTGACCTGGTTTCGAGATAAGTGTTTCAAAAAAACAATTTAGAACTAGTAATATAAATTATACACTTATTGTGCTCGCGTTGCACAAATTTAAAAATGATTGAATGCAAGACATTTCAAATTTTGCGCCCTTGAGCAGTAGCAGTTGCCACCTGTTGCCAAAAGGCCATTCACATGGAAACTTCTTTGGACGTTTCGATTTGAACTTTGCGGGACTCCCGAGGTTACGACACCACACTCACCCGAACGGGGGTCACATCCACGGCCTCCCACTCGATGGGCACGTTGGCAGCGGTGAAGATCTTCTGGACGGCAGCGGAGATCTCGGGTCCGATGCCATCGCCGGGGATCAGGGTGACCTTCTGGATTCCGGAGGAGTAGGATCGGCTGGCGGCGGGAGCCGCGTTGACCTGCAAGCAGTGCAAAACAGAGAGCGATGTCAGTAGGTCAGGTCATGTGGGTGGTGAGGGTGCGATTCCGCCAATCGGGATGGAAATGAAACACAAACTAACAGTAGCAGGCCCACACAGATAGGCAGCATCTAGATGGGTTACATAAGTGGCCATGCCAAAACAACAATCTCAGCGGTCGCTGCAGCCCCCCCGCGCCAAACATCTTGTCATGTTGAGGTTAGAGTGCATAAATAATTCCCACGGCGTTCATAAGTTGATAAGGCCAAGAACAGAAATCTGAATTCAATCTCGGTAACTGCCATTTTCCAAGGGGGTGGGGTGTTCCGTTACACCCCGCTCCCATCACCAGCGTTTATCGATAACGGCCACGCAACGAGGAAGCGAGAGGGAGAGTGTTATGTAAAGGGAATGCTGCGCTGTGCTGTGCCATTCTGTTATGTCCTCGTTTTCGCCGGACCGGACGGACAGCTGATGTGCTGGACGGACGGAGGCTGCTCCTTCACCAGGAGCCCAACATCGGGATGAGTCCGCTGAGCTGCCAATGGGGGAACCAATCTGGACAGCCGCCGCTGCTGGCGTCGCAGTCGCCGACGGAGCATCACGCGCAGCAATCAAACCCAGTTGATTAAGCTGCAAGTGTTTTGCGTAATGTGTTGTTGTCGGTGGATTGTAGATTTGTAGATTGGTTGATTGATTATCGATGGAGCAGGAGCAGGGTAGAGTAGGGTGTCGTTGCAAAGGACCGAGTTCGGACGAGAAACAAAATCGCAATGTTAGTTGTAGTTGGCCAGTACTTTTCAGCCAGCACGTAATCAATTGCTGTCCTGCGGATTGGGGATTCGAACGTGGGCGAAAAGGGTTGACGCGGCGCGGGGGAAGACGGATTCGGGTTAGAGGCGCTTAAGTCTA